ACATTCGTTGCTGGATATATTGCTGGTATGACCACTGTTTAACTATCGAAACAATTTTCTTGTTACAGGAGTTTTCTGCGCTGTTGTTTCTCATCCAGCTGACACACTCGTCTCCAAATTGAACCAGGATGCCAATGCCTCAGTCTCAGGAATCGTTAAGAAGATTGGATTCGGAGGATTATGGAAGGGACTTGGACCTCGTATTATTATGATTGGTACACTCACTGCACTCCAATGGTTCATCTACGATTCTGTGAAAGTCGCTCTCAATTTACCCCGTCCACCACCACCAGAGATGCCAGAGAGCTTGAAAGTTAAGCTCGAGGCTCAAGGAAAACTATAAAATCTAATTAGGTTTTAGACCTTCATAGAAATAAAGTATTTTCAATATCATCCTCTTTTTGTCTTAGTTCTTACTATGTTATATTGTCCATACTAACAGTCCAGTTTAATACGAGTCAATCAGATGAGCCTGTTTGGGTTCGCTAACCATTTACGGTCTTACAAGCACATGAGTATGGTACGAGAAAATCTGAGGTTGCATTTTCGAAAGATAGGAAATTTCACAAGAATTAATTAGATACGAAATGCTACTGGCAATCGCTCTGGATCTGCTTATCGGTCACTTACTTGTGACATACATCAGTCCTAGCAACTTCTGTGTTACTTGGTGGGAAACGCTGAGTTGGTTGATAGAGCAACTCGATCAAGTTTGTCAACGGGTCTGCTCATCGGAAGTGTTATGTTTCAGTTGATAGTGAAGATTGTGGAAAACCCGGCTGGTCTAAAACTAAACGAAAACGTGAATAACGCACTGGCCAGTTTCTTTCAATACCACATTTTTCTATGGCAAAGTAAGAGTTTTTCAAAAGAAAGTGTTAAACGTTGCTTACAGCTTTTGTTGAGTTCTTGAGAAATCGAGTACCCTGGAATATAGTATTATATTCTGGATATTTGGGACTTTCTACCATGTTTGCTGTATTAGCTGATGCCGTCACGATTATGTCCCTGCATATCAAATGTTTTGATATTTATGCTTCGAGGTAATTGTCTTCTTATCAAATATTGATTTGATTTTGGTAGCCCTGAGTTTGTATCTTGATACCACAGTTCAAGTGTATTGTTATATTGATCGTGTTATCTATCTTATCATGACCATTCTATCGCCTCAGTTGTTTCCCTTTTTTCTTTATTTTTTGTCCACATGGAGGAAACTGCGAGTCTTCTCTCCGTAAACCAATCGGAGTATGGGGCAGCTTACTCTATGACCGAATCGGCTCTAGAGTCTGTTGATCCTATAACTTTATGTTGGAAAGATATTCGGTAGGAGAACAGAAGCGTTTGTGTATATTAGTATGTTTTTCAGTGTGTCAGTGCAAAAATCTGACCGTCGTGTACTTCATGGAGTCTCAGGTGTTGCTATGCCTGGGGAGCTCATTGCGTTGATGGGTGCAAGGTGTTTGACATGTTTTCTCACAGATGTAATACTTGAACTTTTAGTGGGGCTGGTAAAACAACGCTATTGAACACTTTACTTTCTCGAAATCTGAGAGGTCTAAATGTCGACGGAAAAGTGGAGGTCAATGGACATGAGGTTATCTTATTAGTCCTCACAATGTTTCACATTCAACATCTTGAAGATTGGACAGAACATAACCTCGATATCAGGATATGCTCAACAGGAGGAGCTCTTTGTTGGCACTTTAACTGTCCGTGAATATCTCACTGTACAGGTATGCATTCTACTAGAGAACTATGCACCTATTTTGTTCAGGCGAAACTCAGGGTAACTGGCTCAGATGCCAAGAGAGAGAAACGTGTGAACACTGTTCTCACTCAACTTGGTCTTCTCAAGTGCCAAAACACCAGAATAGGAGTTATAGGTGTAAAAAAGGGAATTTCGGGTAAAATTGCAATCTTATGAAGTCTTATGTCCATCTCTTATTTATAGGTGGTGAAGCTAGACGACTAACATTCGCATGTGAGCTCCTTTCCAACCCTGCTCTGCTTTTCTGCGATGAACCAACAACAGGCTTAGATTCATTCATGGCCGAAAGTGTTGTTCAAGTTTTGTCCAAGTTAGCCAAAAGTGGAAGGTATGTCAGAAACAAGAGTTTGCTCTAATTACTTCAACGTGTTCAGAACTGTCATTTGCACTATTCATCAACCTGCATCTCAGCTCTATTTGATGTTCGATAAAGTTATTTTCCTTGGTAACTTAAATTCTTCATTTACTTGAGATATTATGTTCTTCAGCTGGAGGCAGGACAGCCTATCTGGGAAGTCCTAAAGGGTGTATTCAATTTTTTGAGTCTTCCGGTTATCCCTGTCCGCATAACTACAACCCTGCGGATATGATTATCCATACACTGGCTGTAGTTCCCAGTGAAGAGGTGGAATGCAACCGTAGAATTAAAGAAATTTGTGACAAGTTTGAGAATGAGTAAGCTACCCAAAAACTGTTTCAACTTATATTCACCTTAAGAGGAGGCAAAGAAGTTAGCGACAAGATTTTCCGCATTGAGAAAGGAATTGTACCTGAAGGCCGTAAGCAAGCTTCTTTAGGCGTTCAAATATCTGCGTTGTTAAAAAGGTATGCAATGCCCAGTTTTTTTTTTTACCTTCAGCATATTTTTTGTAGATCTATGCTGGATAATTGGAGAAATCCCTCTCTCGCTAGAGCAAAAATTATTCAGAAGTCGATAATGGGTTTATTTATAGGATTGCTCTATCTACAGGTAAGAAGAACCCATTGTTTATTCAACCATCTCCATTTGCCAGAGTCCTTTGAATACTGTCGGTATTTCTAATTTGAACGGTGCCCTATTTTATCTTGTTTGCGAACTCACTTACTCAACACTTTTTGGAATTTTAACCTTCCTTCCTTCGGATTATCCACTTGTTGTAAGAGAATATCATGATGGCATATACAATGTCTTCAGGTACGCAAAGTTTAAGGTTTTTTTTCGAAAAAAAAGACATTTCAGTTATTACTTCGCTCGGTCACTATCCTATGTACCATTGTTCACTATAGATGGATTACTTATGCTCTTAATATCTTACTGGCTGGCAGGTTTCTCAAGTTCTGTATCACAGGTTTTGAAATTGAACAGCGTTCGGTTGTTTAATGTTTTGTTCAGGTTCTATTGGCATGTTTTATCAGTTTCTTGATTGAACAATCCTCGGCAGCTTTTGGTGTTATGCTCTCAACTATTTCACCTTCTTATCCTGTATTATAGTGTATTCCTTATAGAGTTCACTCGTTCGTTCCAGATTGCTGTCTCACTGGCAGGACCTCTATTAACGCTCTTATCACTCACAGGAGGATTATATGCTAATGTTGGCGCATTACCAGCATATGTTCAATGGATTCAATACCTTAGTTGGTTCAGGTAACTCGGTTTCATTTTTCTTGGAATATGTTTATATAAATAGATATGGTTTCGAGGCGCTAGCCATCAATCAATGGGAAAAAGTAAACGAACCCAATAGCACAACCTGGACGGAAGCCGTAAGTTTGTCTTATCATCTTCCCTCAGTTTCAAAATATTGCAGAAGAGAGATGACATTCTTGCTCAGTACTCGTTCAGCGCAGATAACCTTATTTTAGACCAGGCGTTGATGGTCTTCTTCATCTTCCTTTTCTATTTAATCGGTTTCATCGGCCTTTCTATCCGAGTTAGAAAGTCCCGCTAATAAATGTTTTAGTTCCTCATGGCTACCTTAATCAAATTAGTTGTTTTAGTTTTTTTAATGTAATAAAATCGATTTTATTTGTTCTGTGATTTTTTCCTTACACTCTAATGTCTTAATTCAGAATAACCACATTATGCTGGAGTTCTCTGCTCTCTTTATGGAAAGCTGTGCGAGGGAGTAAATGGAATCCTCTTCGGCTTCGCGTTGATAGCGTTAGTTAAGAAAAAAATTGAGCTTAGTAGTGTTAGTATCGTTCCAGGTTAATTTGGATTCACGAGAACAGCTTGTAGCCACTCTTCTTTTCTCTCTGATTCTCTTCCTTGTGCCCACGTTCTTGGTATACTTCGTTGTTTTTCGAGTGGTATGTTTTCTCACTCTACCAAGTAACGTCTGGGTTGCAGCTTTATTATGTTACATCATGTATCTACTACGTGTTGGATAAACTAGCGGGATCAATTATGGTTTACAAACTAGGAATCGATTACATAATGAGCAACATTCGTGTCTAACAGAGGTGTGTACAAAAGTATGTTCTTACACTTATTTCGTGGAGTCATTTTTCTGTTGTACTGCACTGAGTTGTTTTCTTGTGTATGTCAGGTGTTAGTTCGCGGATCCAGTAAAGATCTGAAATTGCGTCAGCTAATCGTTTCATCCGCTCATCTTATATTTATATTAATATACTCATTAACACTTTGCTGTTTGTTTCCCATGAATCGTATGTAAGACATCTTCGCTGTTTCGTGTGCATATTTATAATAATCCATGACGTGATTCACTGTGTTGTGGTCACATTTTCTGATGTGTCAATGTGTAATTTTCAGCTATAAAGTCGGGAAGATCACTGTCTTGTTTTCAATCATATTCAAATGTATATATAATAGACGAGGATCACACTTGTGAATCAACCTAGGAAAACAACGTTCTCGTATCATTCTTATTCTTTTTATTTCTCTTTGCCTCCTCTAATCTGCTAGTAGTTCTTATTTTCTTCTCCATCTAATTGTTTATATTATAAGTTCATGTATGTTAGGTTTCGAAAGTAGCAAATCTACATACACTACTTCATAAACACAGCTTCAAGCAATTGTATTTGTTCGATTTAGAGAAACTATGACTATTCCTGCAAAATCTCGAGGTGCTTGCCTCAGCTTATCTTGTATATTATCATTAGCTGTTGCTATAATAATAATCATCTGCTTATTCTCAACTGGATACCGTTGGCTGGATGACAAAGGTAACTTCATACGAGGGAAAAGATCATTCGGTTTACTGCGATACTGCTGGGACCCTTACGAGACGAAGACACATTCGGGTAGAGTTTACTCTGTTTCAAAATAAACTTTAACCTTGCTTTCGTGTAGCCTCTCCAGACACGGACGGGCATTTGTGTTACAGGAGATCTAAACCCCCGAATGATGAAAAACCTTTAGATTTAACTTACTATTATGCTGGTTAGTTAGATCTCTTTCAAAACTTTTTACCGTTTATCTTTGAGACTTTGAAATGATCACTTTAATTCTTCTATCCATATCTGCCGGTAGCATCATTATTGGACTATGTTTTGCGATTTGTTCTATATTCACGAAGTTTGGAGCGCTTTCCCATTGTGTCATGCAGCTTGTTGCCAGTAAGAATCGGTAGAAACCGAAATGTCTAACTTTTTCATTTTCAGCCATATGCTGCACTAGTGGTTTTGTAGTTTACACGTACTTTAATGATTTGAGGGAGAATCAGTCAGAGATAATTAGCGGGACTATTCTTATGGTTAGTGGGTTTCTTATCTTCATTTGGAAGGTTCACTTTTTAGTACCACTACGGTTGGGCCTATTACTGCACAGGAGCTTGTAGCGTTCTATCACTGCTTGCTTTCATCTGTAGCGTGTTTGGATCAGCGTTTTTCATAATACATTCTTCTGAGAAGAATAAAAGCAAAGTTGAGTCTATCCCATTGTGAAGCTTTATTACATATATATATAAATAAATAAATTAAATGAAATTATACAGATAGAATAGAACAGAACAGAACAGAACAGATTCAGAGTAAAAACGCAATCTTAACAAATAACTCGAGGAATGACTAAGTTTTTAGTTATTTTTCTTTTCCATATTTGCTTTCTTTTTTTCGTTCTTTTCGATGAGATGCTCTTCATTGTATTCCCACAAATTCTAAATACAGGATCATGAAGCTCTGATTCATGCATAGGACGAAATTACCTTCAATTCTCCGGTGCATGAAGCGACTAAGAGAGGAACCAATAAGCAGCAGGGCACAAGATAAAGAAGAGCAGGTTGGGCTGCCTTGAAATAGTGCATAACTACCATGGTCAGGACCAATCCGATAGCATAAGCTAACACGGTGATGACGAAGAAATATCTGAAGCACTAGTATTACAGTACTATTAGGTAATAATTAACCTGTTCTTGGTGGTCTTATCCTTCTTTGATGTTTCGCTAATGCGATGATCAAATCTTCTCAAAAGAGCAATGAATATACCAGGAATCACAATATCTCCAAGTCCTTAAACACACATTTGCTGACTTTCTTAACTTTTTTCTCGCTGACCTAGCATAGAATGTTTATTTGCATTCAAGTATCCGTTTCTAAGCAAGTCTAGAGGGAACTGGAGCAGGATTGGGGCATCGATACCCTTGGCAACACTTGTCATAACATCAGTTGCAAACACCCAGAAAATATCATAGACGAACAAACCGCAAAGAAGAAGTGTTCCAGCCTGTAGATATACAAACTACACCACGATAATAACAAGAAAGGGCACCTTGAAGCTACTCAAATGCAAGTTTTCAATACCGTAGATGGAGAAAGCGATTCCGAGTATGTTATTAGTAATCCAATGACGTTGGTAAATATGAGAAATTCCAACGGACAGGCAGAAGAACAGAGCGATGCAATCGTGGGTATCAAACTCCAGCTTCAATAAGAATTCCTGTAAGATTAAATATGTTTTCCGAATCGAGATTGCAATGCGTACGCAGTTCTTCTTAGGGGCATCTTCAATATCGCCTTCTTCCATCTCCTTGGTCCCCTTTTTGATGGAGAAGAAATAAGGAGTGTTGAATTTTGGCCATCTGTTTCCGATAGGCAATAAATTTAATACGAAGGAGAAGAGGGGCTTCAGGATCGTTGCGAGGGCAACGCAACCTATGATTAGAACAATCAAAATAATTTTGGAAATCCTTCATACCCTCATAACAGAGAAGAAGCAGCAACAAAGTCATAGCATTTTCCTTGGAGAGAGAAGGTAAATAGCCTACGAAAGTTAGGATAGAAGCTTGAATGTTCTCGGGGAATAAGTGTAGACTGCAAACCATTGAGGATTATAGAGTATGGAAACAAATAACGTACAGCTTGAGGAATCGTGTAGGGTTCTGAACAGATTCATCATCGGTCTTAACAGGCAAGTAGCCGCTAATGGTATTAGCTATATTTTCTGGAAGATATGTCTGAGCCAGCCCAGAGATCCATGCTGATCTATCCGGCCTATTTTTAATTATCAATAAAATAATTCCAATGTACTCCGTACTTGAAGAACAAATAAAGCCCAAAGAGCACAAGTGAAGCAGTGAAAGGGAACTTCTTGGCTTCAGATAGTGTTATGGATGCCTTAACGATATTGTTAACGCATTAGAGCGCATGTGTCCGATACCTCGATTAACTTCTTCTTACGGATATGTCGGTCAACGAACTTTACAGATCTAATACTGCCCAAGATTATGCATATAAGAGACATAGTATATAGAGCTGATGAGGTAATTACCTTAAATCATTGAGATTCAAGATATTGAATTCGTTTATATTACCTGCTCTTCAAACGTGAATGTAGTGTTTGAAGGTACAGCATCAGGACTGATGACTTTGTCCACTCCCAAGTCAGCCATTTCACACTATGTATGTATAATTTTATTTAATATAAAGTGATATTTTGGTAAATTATGACGCAAATATTAATAAATCAACAATGTGTTATATAAGAGTTCAAGTATCTTACACGTGTGCCGAAGATTAAAAGCCTGCGCCTTTTTGCAATCTAAACAGCAGTATTGGATATTTCGGACCTTTCGAAATTGCTATTGGTCCATAATGATGATCCGCCCAAAAAACCATGAGCTGGTTGCATTCGGGCCTGCAATAGAACTAAAAATGAGGAGGTCTCGAAAAGGGGTGTGGCGAAATGGGCGTCATTTGTACACGTTGATTTAGGTGCACTCAGTTGTTCTGCTCAGATACCTCAGTAGGTCTGGTCCAAGATGGGCATCTTCAATAAAAGTCTAATAGGGCTGCTTGTTATCGGACGTAAGTTTCAATTTTAATCTTTCGTTTCAGCTCTTACATTTTGATGTATCAAACTGTTTTAGAGAATATTAGGATATTTATTATTTTTTATTCTATTATTTCTTTTTTTCATGTTTCCATTTTCAGTTGTCTCCCTTCAAGTATGTTCCGCCGCAGATAAGACAGTTGATAAAACCAGGTATTTTTATTTCAAATTATTCTTCCTAAAATACGCACAACTTTGGAAAATCGCATAGTTCTAAGAACGCTTCAAAAAATACTGTTTGCTGTGCCAGTCAGTGCTTTCTTTAACCAGGTCCATTTGTTTGATTACTCTTGCGCTCTTTCGCTGATTATTTGTAGTATAGTCTTAGTTGACTGGCAAGGTCAAATTTATTTACTGTGACCTTTCATTGAGAACTTAATATACTGTTGAGCTTTAAGAGATGGAGATATCACGGATGCCTTGGACGCTACTAAACTTGAAGAACTTACAAAAAACTCAGAGAAGTTTGAGTTCCAAGCTGAGGTTTCAATGAACTACAGAGATTTTGACATAATCCTTGCATTAAGGTTAATCGTATGATGAAATTGATTATCAACTCTCTTTATCGAAACAAAGATATTTTCTTGAGAGAATTGATTTCTAATGCATCTGATGCTTTGGACAAAATCAGACTACTCTTCCTTACCGATCCTGAAGTAATGAAAGAGACTGAGGACATGAGCATCAAGATTAAGGTACGGGCATTAGAAACCAAGCTTTTACATTCCACACATCATTTAAGGCTGATAAGGATGCTAAAATTCTCCAAATCACCGATACTGGAGTTGGAATGACCAAGCAAGATTTACTCAACAACCTCGGTACCATTGCTCGCTCAGGAACATCTGAATTTTTATCCAAACTCATGGACACTACTACTAGCTCTGAACAAAGACAAGATCTTATTGGACAATTCGGAGTTGGATTTTACTCTGCTTTCCTTGTTGCTGACAAAGTTGTCGTTGTATCTAAGCATAATGATGACGAGCAATACATTTGGGAGTCTGATTCTAGCAGCTTTACCCTTGCTCGTGATCCACGTGGCAACACTTTGAAGAGAGGAACCCAAATCACTCTCTACATGAAGGATGAAGCTCTCGATTTCCTCGAGCCTGATACCCTCAAAAATCTCGTACACAAGTACTCTCAGTTCATTAACTTCAATATTTATCTCTGGCAATCTAAGACCGAGACTGTTGAAGTTCCAAAGACAGAGTCCATCGATGAGAACGGAGCTGTTGAAGAAGAGAAGGACAGCAAACCAGAGAAGGTTGAGAAGACAGTTTGGGATTTCGAGCGTGTCAACAATGTCAAGCCAATCTGGATGAGAAAGCCCAATCAAGTAGAAGATGAGGAGTACACCGATTTCTACAAGAGTGTCACCAAGGATACTGAGGAACCACTTACCCATGTCCATTTCACTGCTGAGGGAGAAGTTACTTTCCGCTCCATCCTTTATGTACCCAAGAAGGCTCCAACCGATATGTTCCAAAATTACGGAAAAGTATTGGAGAACATCAAGCTCTACGTACGCCGTGTATTTATCACTGATGATTTCGCTGACATGCTTCCAAAATATTTGTCTTTCATCCGAGGAATCGTCGACTCCGATGATCTTCCATTGAATGTTTCCCGTGAAAACTTGCAACAACACAAGCTGTTGAAGGTTATCAAGAAGAAGCTTGTACGCAAGGTTCTCGACATGCTCAAAAAACTTTCTGGTGTTCAATTCGATGATTTCTGGAAAGAGTTCAGTACTAACATCAAGCTTGGAGTAATGGAAGACCCCAGCAACCGTATGAGATTAGCCAAGTTATTGAGGTGAGAGATTACATCCTGTTATCGGTCTAAATCTTTTCATTCAGATTCGAATCTTCCGCAAGCGAAGACAAATTAGTCACATTGAGTGAATACGTCGAACGTATGCAGGAGAAGCAGGAAGCTATTTACTATATGGCTGGTACTTCCCGCAAAGAAGTCGAATCTTCTCCATTCGTTGAGCGTTTGATTGCCAAGGGATACGAAGTATTGTTCTTGACCGAAGCTGTTGACGAGTACTGTGTCCAAGCCATGCCAGAATTCGACGGAAAGAAGTTCCAAAATGTTGCCAAGGTATACAGAAAAATCCTGTTTTGAGTAAATTTTTTTCTTTCTAGGAAGGTGTTCAAATTGAAGAAGGAGAGAAGGCCAAGGAACTGTTCAAGAAAATCGAAGAGGAATACGAACCTCTTACTGCCTGGTTGAAAGACTCTGCTCTCGCTGGACTCATTGAGAAGGCTGTTCTTTCTAAGCGATTGGTCAAATCTCCATCTGCTCTTGTTGCTTCCAACTATGGATGGTCCGGAAACATGGAGCGCATCATGAAGAGTCAAGCTTACGCTAAAGCTAAAGATCCTAGTCACGATTTCTATGCTACCCAAAAGAAAACTTTCGAAATCAATCAGAGACATCCAGTAATCAAGGAGCTCCTTAAGAGAGTTGTCGAAAACAAAGACGATCCTAAAGCCAAAGAAACTGCTCTCTTATTATTCGAAACTGCCACTCTCCGTTCTGGTTTCTCTCTCCCTGACCAGGTTAGTCCGTATTTGCATAGTACTTTGCTAACTGAGCGAATATTTAGATTGGATTTGCCGAGCGTATTGAGTCCATTGTCCGTCAATCTCTTGATATTGCAATTGATGCTGCTGTCGAGACTGAGGTTGCCGTAGAGGAAGATGAAGATACTCAAGCAGAAGAAACAATTAACGTTGAAGAAGAACATTCTGAACTGTAATGACACTGTGTTATTAGCTATTGATATTAGCATTTTTTCTATATTATGTGATCTGTTGCGAAGAGATCTTCGCTCCTTTCAAACATTCTATTTACGGTTCTGTTGATCTTCTGTTTTATTAATAACATGTTTTATGTCACTGTGTTTCTCGCATTATCAGGTTGCTTTTCACCTTCACATTATCATTCGAAATCGAGTTGAATAGATTCAATTTATCTTCGAAAGGATCTACATGTGAAGACTGCATTGTATCATCTCGGTATCAGTTACCAATCAATTCAATACTAAGTAAGCGAATGTTGCATGGAGCTTTAACATTGTTACTCACTGCGGAAATTTGATGTGATTGTGTTTCCTGTTCATGAAGTGTTTCTACTAGAACGTCTCTTGTCTGATCAATCCCAATGCATGTTCAAATGAAAGCTATGTCCTAATCATGAAACGCTATTTTGCTAGTAACAGCCTGAAAGGGCATTGAGAAACAAAGAGATTCCAGCTGAGCAAAGTGAAAGTCCTCCGAACTTTGGAAAACCGTAAACCTAATAAATCGGATGATAACTTTTTGACGATTGATCTGAAATGGCTTAAGCAGGCTTTTCTAATTGAACGCTCTTCTCACATAACTAATAGCTTCCAAAGAGAGTGAGTTTGAACAATATTGACGGGGTGTTGTCTACTAGCCTGCTGATTAGAGGAAGTTGTAATAGTGTAACAGGTACCTTTCTCAAAGGCATTATGGATTTCCTACCCTAACGTATGATATATTGATCTGAAAACATTCCAATCAATTAATGTACTGTGTTTTACGAAAGTTCAGCTTTATTGTTGACTGGCCGTTTATCTACTAGTTCATTCTTTACTTCAAACAAATGTCAATTTTGTATTATTGGGTTTCCGATTCATCGTCATGAAGTGTAGCTGCATTATCTGTTCTTATGCTTCGTTCTGTTTCTCATATTCTTGTAATTTACCTTTCTATTCTTTTCTCGGTTACTCAAGAAACTTGACGCTCAAGCTCTGTTATATTATTCATGATTAAGACCGGTATGGCTAATTTCTGTGAGAAGGGCTCGTCAGGAAGGCTACGGCGTTTAACAAAAGCATACTTAACACCATATCAACCAAGTCATTCAGAAAAATTGAGTAAGACTAGCAGGATTGACAATGTTTATGAATTAGGTGTGTCTGGCAAAGGTTTATCGTAGAGTTTATGCTTTAGTTTTCCAGCCCAGAAGTTGTTATTGAACTACCAGAGTGTTACGAGTGGATTATTTCCCCGATTCTCGAAAGATCAGAATATAGGATGTGTTAAAGACAGTATATACTGCGCGCTCGCTTGTTGGGCTACATCTCTAGCTTATAAGTATTCTACATGCTTATTCAAATTTTATGCGTTTTTCTCAGAAGACTTGATGATGAACGAGGGAGGCAAACTGAGCTCCGACAGAGCGCAGTTAAAACTATGAGAGGCATTTTGTTCTGCTGGATGCAACAAGCTGATACAGTAATTATTTGTAATCTAAGCTTATCACCTCAGTCATATTGTAGTTGTCACTTTTCAAATCTAACAACAGCCCTGAATATGCTCTTCATGCGAGGTTCGATCTACAAACTGGAGCTATTTTAACAAGTCCAACTGATAAGCACTATGGACATCTCCAAATGGATTTAGTTGCATTGTATCTTCTTGCCTTAGTTCAGATGACTTCCGGAGGTTCTAAGGTTACTCGGCGAACAACGTACTTGAACTAATTTCTCTCTCTAGATCATTTACACCAACCATGAAGTGAACTTCATTCAAAATTTGGTCTTTTATATCGAGCGAACCTATCGAACTCCAGATTTTGGTATGTGGGAAAGGGGAACAAGATATAATAATGGAACACCTGAAATTCATGCAAGTAGTCTTGGCATGGTTAAAGTAAGGCTCTATGCAAGCGTACCTGATAGTTGAATTCAGGCCGCTCTGGAAGCTATCAATGGTTTTAATGTTTATGGATCTTCTGGCGGAAGTTCTTCTGTAATATACGTTGATATTGATGGTCATAACCGCAATCGAACAACCTTTGAAACGATTCTTCCTCGTGAAAGTAGCTCTAAGGTTATATCGTTCAGTATTACTTCAAACGAAGATAATCTTCTTGTAGAACACAGATTCTTCTCTACTGCTAACACTGGGATGGCCAGCATTCGCTAGTCATGATTCTCAGATTTTCGAAAAAACTATCAAGAAGTGTGTTCGACGTCTCGAAGGAAAATATGGCCTTAAACGGTGGGGCATATGTCAAAAACATTTAGAGAATGTCTGCTTGCAGGTTCTTACGCGATGGTTTTTGTACGGAGATAGAGGACAGCACTAGATCATTCTATGAGGAACATGAAACTTTCAAATTTCAAGGCATTGAATGCCAGTTCCCAATGTTTTTTGCTTATATTGGGTTAACAGGCAAGCTAAATGATGCGTTCAAGTTTGAGTTTTTGGTTCAGCTCACTTGCAAGGTGACACGCAACTCTCTGAGAAGTACTGGAAAAAGCTCCAGGATGTTCTGGTGCCCAGTGATAACGGTTTGATGAGAATTCTCTTCATTTAACCAACAAGTTTTCAAGGAACAATGCTTGTACCTCTATGCTATTGTGTTGAGGAGAATATGATTAACAAAGAACGAGATCAGCCTAACAGCACGGATATGTACCCAGTTAGTCCGAATGAGTTTGGGCATCATCTATGGAGCAATTCCGTATATATAATAATGCTTCTAATAAGTATGAAAATGGAACTTAGTGTTTAACTCTTAGATGGCTATTGTAGGAGATGGCCTCATTCATGCAAGTGACTTGGATCCATGTAATAGACATTTACCGGCCAGCCAGAGACCTAAACTGTTTAATAGACATTCTGCTTTCCAAGTATTTCGATAATACCCTTTTGATCCCTCATATATTGGCTTTGTAGGGCAGTATGGAGTCAGATCCTGTGGTTCAGATAGCTCTTATTGCTGAATCAAGTCGGCTTCAAATGATGTTATCAACATATGGAATAACCTCACAAACTCCCCACGAAGTTGAACCTGTTCAGATTTGGCCAAGTTGGCGTATGGTTAAGGTTCCGAGAAATTGGTAAAAAAAAAAGCTGAAAGGACAAACCTAGGTTTTTGAATGTCTTGGCATGGATAACAAATTGGGTTTGAGTGGTCGACCTCCCCGGCCATTCGGTCCTCTGAGCACATCAAAAGTTTTCCGGGTTTTTGGTGACACCATTCTGTGTTATCCGCTTCTCTTTGAAGTTAAAGATTTCTACATCACCTCGGATCCGGCTGTTCTAGTTGATGATATAAAAGTACAGTGTTTCTATATGTGAATTCTTCTGAATTTGTTTCAGAGAGATATTGATTTCGTTGCTCGCCGGTGGAAGTTAGCTGGTCGGCCCACAATGTGTATCGTTCTGAGAGAAGAAAACGTAGTTGGAGAATACTTCGAGCATGTTCTCGATTTATTAGTTCAACTGAAAAATGGTCATGTAAATAACACACGTGTTCGTATGGGGCGAGTTCATGTGAGTAGTATATTACCTCGAAGTATTATACGGAATTTACGAAATTACAGCAATTGTTAAACTCCAGTTGCATAGAGCATATTGATTTTGCAACATCTGAAGATGTAGATTTCGATATTGATATTTTCGAAGAAACAGATCATAGTCCGGAAATCCTATCACGGTTGAGTTTGAAGGAAGTGGTGGATGTGGATTCAACACAAGAAGTTTGAAAAACCTTCAATACATCCGACCTCTGTTTCTTTTAGGCGGAAGTGAATGAGCTCTCCGATCATGAATTGTACGAAATAATTTACAAGGATGATATGGAAAGACCAAGACAGCTTGTTTATGCTTTACGCGCTCTCTGGCAGAGATCGAATTCCGAGCTACTTGTTCAAGGAGGTGAGATGTGCTAACTATTCAAAACTCTTGCTTTTAAGTTACGATAAAAGCCAGAATGGAAAGGTTATATAGACGAGCATGCCAGTTGCGACTATGGTACGTCGTGAGGTATTCTGCTGGAATTCTGAAGAAAACCATAAATAGTTTATCCCCTGCTATAACGAATATGCTTGTGAGAGGAAAACAGGTAATCAAAAGTAGCCAGATCTGATGCATACTTCACCATCACAGGTAACAATTGGGTTGAATCAAGGAAAGGAAGTATGCATATCTCATCCTATTGCGCCTTCTGAACTCGCCGAGCTCTTTTTCTCTTGCTGTCCTACAGACTGTCCACAAGCTTCAGTTATGCAACAAGAACTTATAATCGCTTGTTCTGACTTGGTTGGTTGTTTGTTTCTGTATATTAGAAGTTGTTTCTCATGTTGTTGCTTTTAATTGTTCAATTATAGATTTCTCAATCCTCCTCGGCGTTCGACGGTGTTCTGACTGTTAGGCTCTCTTGGTTGATGGATGCTGTACAGATGCTTTTACATTTCATATCCAAAGAGAGTAAGTCTGCGAAAAGTTTCGATGATAAGTTCGCCTTGTCTTTCAAGAAGATTTACAGTTTCTACACAGGTAATTGTTCTTATTTCTATGTTGTTATTGGTTCTCTTTCAGAGTTTAAGAAAGGATATATTTATGACATTTCTCCAACAGCTATTAAGTACTTGGTGTTTGCGTTGATGACCAAAAAGAATTGGGATTTACTGTATTTCTACTTTTATAAAAGAAGAATACTGATATGTTCAGCTCTCCTCTTCAAACTCGCCGATTGAATGGAGCTTTGAATCGTATGCCTGTTTTCTTTTATGATCGAGTGTGGACTGTTCTTGAGCGTTGTAAACATGGAATTGTGATAGCAAAACAGTATCTACCGCAAGCAAGTTTTTTTATTTCAAAAATCATATTTTTAATTACAAGTGGACAAAGCTAATGTTTGATCTTTAATTATAATTTCTTCAGCAACCTACACTTAGTGATATGACAGAGTTCGAACTGACGTTTGCTTATAAAATAGAAAGCATGTTGAGTAGAATTGCTCATCCTGAATACAGACAGCTATTGATTGAGGTATTTTGATACAGAAAGCTTGGCATATGATAGTTTCAGCTACTCTGTATCATTGCTACTATAACGGAGCGTAACCCTGAAATATCTTTTAACAATTCTCAACTGGATTGTGATAAGGTTTGGAAACATTATGAATCAGATTCAATCCGTTTGTACTCGTATAGCTCATCACCAAAGCCTCACAAATTTATGCCGAAGATAATGGTATCACAGATTCACCAGATTTGAGTTCTTTCTGCGAAATGGAAAGCTTGGCTCACAGACCTTCCACAGCATCTTATTTGACTAGGGTATCTTGTTTTCCTCGATAAAATGTGAAAACTGGGATGTTCAGACGGTCATAGATTTTCTATTGAGCGGAAGACATTTCACCCAGAAGACTTCAACAGTAGCGGAATTTGATATCAAGGAAGATAGAAATTGTGGAGAAGACTGCAGGATACAGTAGCTATTGTAAAGTTTGTTTATAAAAAAGATATATATTTATAACATAATAAAACTTAATCGCCATCGCAGTAATAGTCACAATGAATGAATGCTCGCTCAACGAACGGAAGCCTCTGTAGCTTCTTCTCTAATGGATGACAGATATCATGAGTTGTTTTTAAAGTCAAATGTTCATCCATTACAACATGCAGTTCGACCAGGGCTTGATCCCATGTATGATAAACCATTATATGATCGATGAACCTAGAGTGAAGCTTACTGACTACCAACAGTGTCTTGTCTTACTTTATGCGTTCATCGTGATCTAAAACTATTTTGAGTATCCTGCTGATGTTTTGTTGATTTCCTCGTTTTCCAATAAGATTTGGCACTATTTCCGAGATATGTCTAATCCATGAGACCGTTATGATGCTACTGAACAGACAAACCATTTCACCTTTACAAGTATACTGTACCATATGATGACAGCCCCTACAGAATCTGCATACTTCCACACGTAATCTCCGGACAGAGCAAAAACCAGGGCCAGACATCGTGTTACGATATCATTGCTGAAAATTATGTGATTAGACAAGCAGTGCAGTTTACCGAAGATCCATAGCGATAACAAGAGATGATGTTGAGGATCTTCTATAGCAAAGATAACAGAATAAAGCTTTAAGCACTGTTTGGACTATCAGTATTGACATTGTATAGAAGTCCATAGTTGGTCCTTTCTTAACATTGTCAATCAGATTATAATTAATAAACCCTTTGTTCTTGTCTTACTACGTCAGATATGATGCTACTAACAGTTTGAAATATCATTATAATGTTTGCAAAAATCATTAATATTGCACATAGCACGGCTCCGATAGTTTCCAGCCTTAGATGTCACAGGTAAAGTCTATTCCGTTATTTCAGAGATCATTTGTACCTTTCTCGTCCTCTTGGATAATTGATAGTATCACGTTTCTGAATAAGATAAATACAGATGTTCATTACAAAGCTACACGAGATATCCATGGATGAGTCAATGAACAAGCTGAATGATATATTGTAAAAGGTATTCATCTGTTTTTACCTCAAAATCGAGAGTGAACCTGATAGAATAGATGCTACTAAGTTAGCAACGAGAGATGCTACATTGAGGTACAGGATTGATTGAGCTAACCATTCATCTTCGGAGCGATCCGTCTCATCACTCCAATCATCTCGATTGACAAGCTCTTTGTCATTCTCATAGAAGTTTTTCAGTTCCAACATCTCTTCATCATACTGTAAGCGAATTCCAATTAAAATAATCGGAATGACATCTCATGCCTTGATGATTGAGGGTGTTCGGATGGATACATGACTGGTGTCGTCCTCTTTCTTCAGATACGTTGATGAAGGCTCTACTTTCGTAGCTTTAGAGCGTGATTGCGTCTTTCTCTTTTTCATAACTCTGAAATGAGAGACAGACGTTAAGGATGATGAGAAGTCTTCAAAATAAATTTATGGAAATGAACGTTATTTTCATTATTATCTCCTCGTTATCAAACTCCGCCTTATCTTCTATGGTACGTGCATTAACTAAGAAAACAAATGTTCACATAAGACTCTTCTATATATGGAATATCATCATTATAATCCAATAATGTATATATCTTCATGTAATTATTGTTCAGATTGAATGTCCTTCTATTTCCTTATAAGGTAATGCTTCAAAAAAAAGCGACCAAAGTATGAAACCAATTAGTTTGACGCGGCATAATTCTAGTAAAACTGAAATTGTATCTGAAGATATGTTTACGGAGCTTAACAACTAAATAACCCAGTTATCCAAAAATCTTCAAGGCTACTCATGGCAATATAAAACAGTTTGGTAACAATATCTATAATCTTCTCTCTTCATTGTCATGAATTTACTTTTAATCTTTTTTTCAATTCTACACTTAGTTGTAACTGAATATCAAGATGAACCATTTCAAAATCCTAATCATGTAAGCTTTGTATCAACTTCATTTACATCATCTTATTTCTTTACTTAACAGGACCCTAGCACACGACCATGTGAGAAAGATATCAAGCTCGTTGCATTTGATCCAAGAGCGAAGGGTCCGAGAACTGTAGGTTTGTTTTTTTAATTTGTTTTTCGACTTCCATGCATCAGTTAAACTGAATTTCGAACAAGGCACTATCGTGTCTCAGAATTGCGCACCTCTGATATCTATCTATGACGCATGTTGATACTGAATATGACATGAAACCATGTGACTCTTGAGCGAAAGAAAACTGTTTATCTTTACAGGTAAAGTGAAACAGGTGATTGCTCCCACTCGAATTGTCCAGCCGGCATCTGCACCCAGAAATGTGCGACCTAAGGCACCACCACTAATAAAGAAGAAAGGATCTTCAAAGCCTGCTGGAGCTCCGAGGAATAAAATCATAGCTCCTCCAAGATATCTCCCACCCGTTATGACCACGCGAAGAACAGTCCCACCTCGAAATACTAGAACGTACGGAACTAGAACAGTGAGAACCACAACTGCTAGGCCTCCAAGAACTACTTACCCAACAAGACCTCCTGCAACCACAACATACAGAACTACCAGAACCACCTATCGTACGAGACCTGTTAGAACCACAACTGCTAGGCCTCCAAGAACTACATACCCAACCAGACCTCCTACAACCACAACATACAGAACTATCAGAACCACATATCCAACAAGACCTGTTAGAACCACAACTGCTAGGCCTCCAAGAACTACATACCCAACAAGACCTCCTGTAACCACAACATATAGAACTGCACCCACCACTCAAACTTCGAGAACTCAGTATCCTACTCGAACTACCCGAGCTATCTACCCAACTAGAGCTGTGAGACCTCAACCAGGGGCTCCCCCAAGAAATCCAGTTGACCCATATCCTACAAGAACTGCTAGCTCTACCACTCCTCGTACAACTGTATCATCGACTTATCGTACTAGAACTGTTCGTACAACTGTACCACCGACTTATCGTACTACAACTGTACGTACAACGACCGCTCGCTCAACTGTACCACCCACTTACCGTACCAGAACTGTGCGAACAAGGACCCCACGGACAACAACATACGCTACCACAGCAACTCAACCTTCCACATACCCCTCTACAACAACTCAACCTTCCACATACCCCAGTACAACAACGCAACCTCCCACATACCCCTCTACAACAACTCAACCTTCCACATACCCCACTACAGCTACACAACCTTCCACTGTTACATCAACTTATCGCACTAGAGCGACGAGAACTACAACCCCTGCAACGACTACTACTCAGTACATCGCGCCAACTACAACCAGAAGAAGAACAACAACAGCCAAACCTAGCTCAAATCAGTAAGTAATAATAGTTTCAACCATTCTTTCGATATGCATATTCAGAGTTGCTCAACAAACTAACGTACAATCACAGAACAATGTGATGATCGGAGGAAACATGACAAACGTTTTGACGAACGTGAATACCATAGACATCAATCAAAGCAACATACGTGCAGCTGCAGCTCAAGATGCTCCATCAGACAGCGGCTATGTTCGACGATGAAAGACTGATTGTATCAATCATAGAGATATCTTGTTCAATTCATTACGTCATTCGATTATCAATAGTATATTGAGAATGTTTTATGTTAAATATTAACCCGACAATTTGTTGAGATTTTTTGATGACACTTTAAATGCAACAAGTAATAATATATATATAATAAGTTATGTTAATGAACCCGCTTCACTTGATGATTGCTATTCTGTTTTTGAGCTTATTGTCTTCTTCAATGAGCTTACATCCAATAAGCTTAACAAAAATATTCATTTGTTTGACTACCATTTGATTTTCGAACAAGCGGTTCTTCTGACCTAAAATATATAAATAATAGTAAATTACTGAAAAAGTTATATTTGTTCTTCTACCTGCTCAAGGTGTTATTGTTGGGCATGGGCAAACCACATTCATTCGTTTTATAGACTCCCTCAGGTCTCGATCTTACGTAATATATAAAAACAGCTAACATAACAATCAAAACCAATGTAACACCGATTATTATAGCTGAAGAGAAAAATATAATTATTAATATGACGTCAATGTTGATGATGATACTTACATGTAAATGATATCAGACGATGTCTATCCAAGCTTACTGTACTTATGAACACTTGCTCACTTTTCTTGGCTGCTTGAAATTGAGGATTTGTTTCTCTGTAGAGACAGTTATTCATTTATGATAAATTATTTTATTCTTACTGTATAAGCATTGGACAGGATCCAAATTTTATTTTTCCTGAATAGTTCAAACGAGCAGATTTTGGATTCTTCAATGGGAACGATGAACCGACTTGAAGACGCGAAACACACCCAGTATAACCTGATGGAATGCGTGATTGTTAAATGTAGTGTAAAAAAAAGTTTTACCTTTATCTAAAAACTTCCAAACATTGAAAGTTTGGAAGAACGTCCAATTTCCTTCGAACTTGATAGATTCTTCTCCATCGATCTACAAATCTAATTTGAACGGGTTCATCTTACAATTTCGTTACCGTCAGGTTGAACAGTTTCTTACTGGCACAGAATGATATGTCATGCATTATATCATCACTCATATTCATTTTACGATAAACATCACGATGAGTAAAGAAGAATCCGTCGTATATGGAGAGTGTTAGAAAACCTTTAAACATGTGATTCATTAAACCGTCACTATTACTTTATGTTTACCATGTTCATCAATACTCATATTGAAGGTTGAATCGCCGAATAAAGCACGAGATTGGATCAAGCTCACATTCGCAGATCTCGATTGAATTGCTATTCGATGACAAAACCATGTATGAGCCGGATTCTGCCAGGGAATGGACAAAGATGATCCTAGTGGTACCCACATTCCATATTCTGAAAGAATAGGGTTATTCATATTGTTCATTAATGTAGTGAGTTACCTTTCGTACAATCTGATCCACCGAAAGGTGTAAGAGAACAGTCACAGGAATATCCATCATAGTGATCAATGCAAGAACCATTGTTTTTACATAATCCTATACGGCAATACCCATCGTCACCGACAGTCAAAGCTTTTGCTGGCTCTTTCCGTGCTAGTGACGAGAGCATCAATTCTTCTCCGCACAGATGAGCGTTTCTGAGAACTCCAGCATAACCAGAGTTACCACTCTCAGTGCGTGATCCTTAAATTCATGATTGAAAATGAAATGAGATAGAGAGATAAACAACATACCTATTATCCAATGCAAAGCTGATGGAAGGATGAAATGCTGATTCTGAACGACTACAGAATGATCAACTCTCAGAATCATGCTGTACGAATCAGCCTCCCAGTAAATAGAATGCCAATGCCCATCATTATAAGTACTATTAGAAACAATCTTTCGACTTTCTCCTCCGTTTAACAGTTCACCAATTATTCTTCCTCCTACGAACAAAAAAGTTTAACCAGAGATTGTTGAAGTTGGTGACCCACCATGGATATACAGTTGGAACCAATGCATCCCATCAGCGCTCTCCCAAACAAAAATATTCATATTCGGATGAGCGAACTTGACTTGTATGGCTATATGGAATGTGTTCGATTGAAATACGCGACTACCAGTCAGACGAGCGTTCCTATCAAAAAAAGTGACAGGCTCAAAAGAAACTGAAACGACCCATGTTTGTCAATAAAGAAACTTTACAAACTTCGATTTGAGCATTTCAAAGAGCCTATTTCAACTTCGACACTTGAAGATTTCTTAGTGCCTCCTATGAAAAGCGCTGTCACAGGAAGAAGTTGAGCATAAGTATTGTATCCCTCGTCCACACCATCTTCTCCGGAATCGCAATTGCACATTCTGAATAATTTATGTTGTTTGATGTTTGAACGCTGTTCTTTACCGATTATGCTTACAAGTTCCATTTATGGCACAAGAACACATTCGACTATATGGCGGTGCACTACCCCATTGCAAGCCATGTTTATCACTACGTGTCGAATACCACGATGATGGACTTTTATCTTGTCCGTGCGTCATCAGATGTGCGCCACCGCGACAAACGTATTTCATCCACTGTAAAAAAAAGAAATGAAAGCACAAAATACACGTATATACTGACTTGCTTGCAATTGTCAAACCCTTCAACTAGTCTATCAAGCTCTTCATGATTAATTCCGTATTCCAATGATTTGCGAACAGCTCCTGGAGCATTACTACCTGTGACGATGATAGCAGTTTGTAAATCATGTTTTATCGAAGTTGTTATCTGAATTATATGTCAGTTATAATCAAATAATATTAAAGATGATATACAATATCAACGCCGAGTTCATCCTTTTCTGTTCGACAAACGACAGGAAAAGCTTTTAGGGGACCTCCACCATCCAAATCGATTGTCACATTTTTTCCTTTGGGAACTTTGGCTCTATTAGGCCCTCTCCAGAATATCCATTCCTCACAAGATCTTGGCAATTCACCTAAAATCGTACTCATTCCTTTCCCATTCAGAGAAATTTAGCTTACTAGTATGACAATTTTTCCCACGATATCCAAATGGACATGAGCATTTATAATCATCTAAGGATACTTGGCTACAAACACCCGAGTTTTCACAAGGCGACGGAACACATCTGAATTAAACCAATGTTCACTACAAATTATAAATGAAACATAGATTATGAGAACAACCGCATTCGTCTCTAGTAGTGCTCAAAATGAAAAATGTTCTTCATCGACATAACTTCTCAGTTTCAATGCGCCAGCTCTCACTCTCCTTTCAAGCTTTCAGCTTCAATTACAAATATAAACGAACCTATCAATCATATCACACGTTCCTCTACTAACATTTCCTGACGTTGTGATAATTCCAAAATCTATAGTAACTGAACGATAACATCCAGGTGTTGGTAATAACAGAGCTGCTAGTTTGATTGAGAAACGTTTCACTTCATTACCTTCCAGCCATAATACCTAGAAGCTTCAACTTAGTACTGAATTATCATCTCAGAACAAACCGTAAAACGATTTATTTCGACTTCCAGACGATTTCCTCTTATTCGAAGTGAGAAGCTATGCCATGATCCTTCAGAAACTTTGACCGCTGTAATGAGAAAAAACGGATTGAGTTGCTCTCTTGCGATTCTCTTACGTGGATTAGCTTTCTGTCGATGTTTAGTGGAGTTGACTGTGAGAAAAATAATTCCACCTTCATCTATTTCCACTTTCAGAATAGTTTCATTTTTGAAATCAAGCATGTTCAGCAAGACGCTTGAAGTTTGAAAAATGCGAAATTCGAACGAGAATGGTAGAAATGTGAATGGGATGAATCCATATGATCCATTATGTAATGTTAACGATGGTGGCATTGGCATCTGAAAACGACCTCATTGAGATTGTATTTCGTATTGTTAACTAACTGAGCACTTGTTGACATTCTCACTAGGAGCAAATTGTAACAAATCTGCAGAGTTCAATTGTAATCGAGCTAAGCAACCATGAAATGTTGTTTCGATGCCTTCAGAAAAATCATCTGGAGGGCGTCCAGCTATGTGAATCTAACGTAAAATGTGTGAAAGGACAGATCAACTAATTGAAACCTCTGAATGCAAATCCAATTTCCTATATAAGCCAGTTGGAGTGGTCTGGTTGAGAATTACATTGTCGATAGATAGTTGTACAGAATCGAACTGATGTAGCCAACGAAGTTCATGCCATTTCCCGTCATCTAACGCTTTTCCTCCACTTATACGAGACGGAGTTAAGGAGCCTAAATTGACAGATGAGGAACATCGTTCTTCCATCTATGAAGACTAACCAAAATCGAAAATGACATGAACTGTTCCTCGAATGATCTGAGCAACAAGCACATCTCCTTGATCAGCCATAGAGAAGAAGAATACTCCAGATTGGAATGTACGGAATACAAGAATGAGCTCATTCTCATACATTGAAACTAATCCTGCTTTATGACTATCGACCACATATGACGTATCATCAAAAGCGATGATTTGTGTTTCTAAACTTATAGTATGAGCATTGAAGCGATTTCTCAAGATGGTTACCATAATCACATATAGTTAAAACAAGCAAAGGCTCTTTCTGGAACTTCTCCGTCGAATCAGGGAACGCTCGTCTGATGCGAATTGCCGAAGCAAGGATGTCCACATGTGTCCAGGAAGGTACATGTGCTAGTGTTGAGTAGATCACCTATAATGTTATATATTATTGAATGAGCATGCTTCTCCATATCGTTTAATTTAAGTTTCCCTTTGACCATGATGCTAATCATCATTCTTAGCCCTGTCTAACATCCATCACTTTCTTCGATCCTAATAAGGTTTTCGGGGAGCTTAGAAGATGGATCCGCGACTTCTTCTATCTGCTGTTGTTAGGAAAAGCACCGGATGTTGCCCTAATTGAGCATTTCTCTCTTGTTTTCTTTTGCTCTCACATTTGCTCTCACGTCTTTACTCTCTCTCTCTCTTCCCTCTCATTCAATGAATGTCATCTTAACTGTCGATAAAGCCAATTAAGAATTCAGATGAAAGCTAACTCGATCAGTACAATAAGCGTTCATCAAATATGGAACTTTCCTCGTTCCTATATATGTTAATTGGCTCTAAATTACCATTCCAACTAGTCAAGTTAGAGATGATATTCTCATCTTCCTTACCATATACGCATAGATATGCATATACACCCTTCAACCAACCCCCCCCCCCCTTCCAACACCCACCAGTAAAGAAAGTTGTTTGTATTTAGTAAAAGCAATCTGAATGAAGCATCTAAAGGCTTGTCACTTTGGATTATTTTTATGATGAGCTTGTCAAATGAGATTGTCTTTTAGAAATAATCTTCGTCTTTCACTATTTACATTTAATTTCTATTCAAACATCTAATAGCTACTAAGCTTCATTCCTTTTTTGGCTCCAACTATCTCTCATTCTTCATCTTCATCTTCATCTTTTTAGCATTTTTGAAATATCATGAATAGCTTACCAATGGATGATCATTCACTTGCTTCAATGTTATAAAATGATTTTCAGAAATGGCATAGTCTATGATGAAAGCAGAGATTTGTCCAGATACAGCTATTCTATTTATTTTAATTAATTTATCAAATGTGACAGTTTGTGTTGAATAGCTAACGTCATTACAATCTCCAGAAACTGAAAATAAAAATAATTTTAAAAATAAAATAAAAAAGAAGAAAATTTCATTGGCACATGGTGTCACTAACAGATGTCAAGTATCTACTTGTTCAAAATTAATATCTGCCTCTTCGTAGTAGCCTCTCTACTTCATATGGCTCTAACCCTTTACTAACTATTCTATATAATCAATGGCACCATATAGTAAAATGAATATAAAAATGAATAGAATAGGATATATAAAAAAAGATTTCACTTCTTCATCATCTCATCCCGATATGCAGCAGGGTATTAATTATATTTTTCAACAGCATTATCTCATATAGCTAGCTAACCGATGAGGCAGGTGCTGAAATCGTTCTGTCACCTGCGCTACAGATGACCATCGTCATAGGGGGGGGGGGAGAGAAGTACTATCAGAATTTGAAACATTTGAATGTTCGAACAACATTTGAAGGTTATTAAGTTGTTGGTTGCTATAGGTTTTTGAGATCAATTAGATGAAAGTAGCTTATAGTTTCCGAGGAGAGGAAAGCAATAGGTCAACCATTTCCTTTTCATATGATCGATTCATACTCTCTATAACCTTCTTAATTTATACCATATAATGCATATTGTTCATTCATTCATGCTTACAACGTATAGCCGAGTCACAGATGAATGTAGAAGGTGTTAATCATCTAACTGTTCATTATCACACGCTGTCATTTAAGATCAAAAATGGCAAAGTAAGTTGTAATGCTTCAATAGCTCTATTAGAATATGGGCAAGATGTGTTTTGACCGGTTGTTCCGGTTGTCTTTCCGCTTAGTTCTTTCAAGCTTTCAAGCAGTTTTTTTTACTTCTCACTGGACATCAAAAAGAAGCATTTTTTAAATAATAAAATAGAATAGTTAAGTAGAAATATGTATGTGTTAGGTGAACATGTACATATATGGATTATAAGCCGATTAACTAACCTAATTGAGCAATAAATGAAGCTGAATATAGTAATATCAGAAGTTTGAAATACATTTGTGAACATGAGCAAGTAGAATCTGCAAGTTGAACGTTTCGTTTATCCGAATAAATAGATTGAGAATAAAAAAAGAAAAATAAACTAAAATCACGACAATAGCCTTGAAGAAAAGGCGAAAAAATAAGAAAATTAATGATTCGAAGAGATGCAATTGCCTGAGGGGGGGAGGGTGAATAGAACGACAAGTAAATGGAACTTAACCAACATGGGTGGGAAAGCAAAACTGCAGATGGGCGTGACTTATGTGAGTGAAGCTTTGGTGAAGTATGAACATAGAGAGAGTGTGAAAGAGTAAGAGAGAGAATGAAAGAGAGAGAGAGATAGAGAGAATGAAGAAGAAGAAACTTGGATTTGTTTAAATGAAAATGAAATGTTGGTATGATGATAAGAAGGCATTGACTAAACTCTATTACGTTATTCTATCTAAAAATTGTAAATTGAATGGCAAAAAATATGAAAAGAAATAAAATGAAAAGCATTGACCGTCATGTAATTGAATTAATCGGCTGTGGCAGACTCTGTCTGTCCGAACAAAAAGTATTTGAAAAATATGGAAGATGATCAAGAAAAATATTATTCTTCATTCATATCTATTCTCTTCTTCTTTTTTCTCTTTTTCAATCTTATATTAAAGAAGTATGTAAATAGAGATGCTTTACGTGTTAATTGGTCAGTTCAAGTGTTTGCATGGCAGTATGCTGCTCTGATTCCTTTTTTTTTTTATTTCTCGGTAATGCCATGGACATCTATGGCAGACGGACGACATTATTAAAGCAGACGTGACGAGGTCGGGATGATGGCAATTATGGAATTGATGAGAGTACAGAGAATACAGAGACAACTTCTTTTATGTAGAGATAATGTTAAAAAATGTATAAAAAATGGAGAGACAGAGAGAGAGAGAGAGAGAGAGAGAGAGAGAGAGAGAGAGAGAGAAAGAAAAATAATTTTAAAGCAAAGACAGCACGTAGATGATGTTCTTTCTGTTTCCAGATGAGTTGCTAAGTATGCTGCTCAGAAATGAGCATAAAAACTTTTAAATATGGAAAATCTTGACTCGAATGGAAAAGCTTTAAGGTACATCTCAGTTTGAAGGGAGAAAAGCGTAGAAAAATTTGCATATGGTCCTCTATGTTATAGCTTTACTTTGTAGCTTTCTTTCTTACTCTCCTATCTCTCTATCTCTCTCTCTCTCTCTCTATCTCTCAAATTCTTTCTCTCTCTATTTTTCTCTTGTAATAATCTTGAGAAGAGAAGAATAGACGGAGAAGAAGAAGAAGCGCAGAAGCTGAAACATTTACGAGTTCAAAAGAAACTTCTATGAGAACAAAAGGTTTTATTTAAGAAGGGAAACAGAGATTCCATTGTTAATAATTTTGGATGCAAAAGAAGATAGGAAATATGATATAACTAGTAATTTCTTTTAGGAGAGATAAAAAAACAAACAAACAGAAGGTTTAAGTATAGCATTCTATAAAGGTTACTTATTCAAAAGCCAATTGAATGTTTAATATTAGGCAAATGCTATTAGCGTGCATTTCGAGAGATATAAAATCACAACAGCTCTCTCAACTTTGTTGAAATTTTCGTCTTTTTTTTTTCCTTTTAAGCCTCTTTGTCACTTGAACGTAGATGTGTGGCAGCTTCGAGCACTCGCACATCCTGAACGGTTTAAGCTTTGAAAGATGTGCAAAATGGAAGAAGGAAAAGCAAAAATGGTAATAGAAAGGTATTGGATGGCTCAAAGAGAACCCGATTGAGGAACAGCTGATTAATCCGAAAGGGCACGGGTCAGTCAGAGTACAAAGCACCAACTGTTTGATAGTATGAATAGCCAGAAAAGGCAATGAGCAAAAAAAAGAAAAAAAGATTTAAGACCGAATGTAAATGAATGGAATATGGAGTAGGAAGAGAATGAGTGAGAAGAGGTCAGCGAGGAAGATTTGTTTTTTGAATGGTCCATTATACACGAACTCTACGATTATTAAGCAAACTTTTGGATAGCAGACGATTGTTGTGACGCCATCGACCCCAGGTCGGAAGAGGGTCGACGTCTTTTGAGCATTAAAATGACCATACGTGGATATGTGTGATGAGATAATGAAATGTGAACATCTCTATACATCATTGAAACTTAAAATATAAGAGAAGTGAGATAAGATTTGACGAAAATCAGGGAGTAATGCTCGTATGCATCAGGAACTCATCATCATTGAATGTCGGCCACCAAAAGATAGAAAGAGAGGATGAGAATGTGAGAGAAAAAAAGAGTAAGAGCTATAGATAATATAATAAGGAGAGAGTGAAAGAGAAAAAATAATAAAGAGAGAGTAAAGAATATGAGTGAGAGTAACAGAGAAGTAGCAGTAGCAGACGATTCAGATGAATAACTTGGCAGCTTTGAATAACACTAAGCCGACAATAAACATCAAAATATTTCCTTAAATAGTATATTTTGGGATAAACTTATAAAAAATAAACAAAATACGTGAGGTGTTGAATGCAGAATAGGTAAGTGTGAAGGAATGGCAAGTTGTATACAGCATGGCTAATGGAGTAACTCGCCTTCATCATGATCATACCGAAGCTGTTACTCTTGATGATATTACGTATCAGATGGCTATGATGTCATATTTCTTCTTTGTATGGTCTCTACATCATTCTCATCTGAAACAATTGTTGAACGAATTGATAAGTAATTGAGTTGAATGACAAACAAAAAATGAAATTAGTTCATTCTTTAGGGACTGCTAAAGACTGAGAGATTGTATTTTATGCAAATTGCGATACTAAACTCCCTGAGGGGTTGTTCTAAAAAAGAGATTTAATCGAGTTTATTTAGAAAAGTCATTTATCTGCTTGATATGTTGCAAATAATTTCAAATAAGCATTATAGTATGTAAAGCTCAATCAGTAATGATGCGATCAACTGCCTTGATGCGTAACTGACTTGCTTAAGCTTAAACGTTCGGCCAAAAAAGGAAATTAAAAAATAATAAATAAGCTTTTGACTGTTCTCTGCTTTCTTCCTAGAGAATGACTGAAAAGAAACAGAAAAAAGAAGAGAAAAAAACAATTTTTTTTCGAATTTTAAACTCGTTCCTTCTTTGTAAACGAGAATATTTGTTGTGGCTTTCTTGAAGACAAAAATAAGATCAGTTAGCTTGCGAGGCTATTGCTATAGACGAAAGGAGAGAACTCATGACATTCGCCGATTTTTTCTCACAAATATATTCTCCGCACATACACACACACACACACACTGATTAACTATTTTTTTATTTTTGGGAAAGCTTTCTATCTGTAAAGCTTGACAAGCAAGTAACTGATGATAGTTCACGTGAGAAATGACGTGTCTTCCACGTGCCGCTTGTTCAAGCTTTAATGCTTAAACGTGCTGCTCAGCTATCCATACGTTTTGTAAGCAGATGAGCTTGTCCGAAAATAATCGTTTAGAAGCTCAAAAATGGTATCACGGCTTAACAACACGTGATATATGCAGGTTATTTATAATATAATTAATCATCATTCAATATAAGTTCAGTCCTTTATTAAAGGAGAAAGGTGATTATCTTGTTCGAGCTTCACAAAAAGGAAGCTCAGTTGGAATTACTTTGAATGTTAGAAATGATAATGAGAAGAAGGTTTGTCATCACTTTAACTATATCATATATAATCATAGAGTTAAAGGCTGTTGATAATTTTGCAATTACAACTGTTGGAAGTGAGAGACGATATGTCTTACGTGCTGTCATCAAAGAAAACAATTTTCCAGCCTTTGATTCTATTCCTAACTTAGTCAAATATTATAAGGTTAATGATACATATAGTTAGCAGCTATGATGAATAGTTAAGATACATGATTTGCCAAATGGCATACGGTTAAGACGAGGCATTTCAAGACCCAAATGGCTGATCAGCAATGAAGCTGTTGTTTATGAAAAAGTAAATTGAATACAGTAGAACGGTCTTATAATTGAATTTTCAAGAGCTCTGAGCTTGGTTCCGGAAATTTCGGAGCTGTTTACAAAGGAACTCTACACAACTGTATACCATGTGCTATAAAGGTATACTATATAGATTATAATATGAGAGAGAAAGAGAGCAATAGAACCAAATTCAAGATTGTTCAAATGAGAGATAAAGACTCAACGCCATCTGAAACAGATGTGGAACAAGAGAATGAAGCTCGAATTGGGATGATTAGAGAAGCTGATCTGATGGCTTCATACCATCACGAAAACATCGTCAAAGTATTCAGATGTTTCTTACTATGTCTTAGAAAACTTGATTAAGTTTCTCGGATTTGCTTGTTTTCATCCGCCACTCATGCTTGTGCTCGAATTGTGCAATGGAGGAAGCTTAGATAAGCATTTACGAAAAAATGGAACAGAATGTACTGATTATGAAAAACTTGTGTATATTCTTGAGGTTAGCCATATATGAACGGATATATAATATTTAACTGATCATTATTTACTAGGCGGCTCGCGGAATGAACTACTTGCATCGTAAGAACTGTATTCACAGAGACCTTGCTTCCAGAAACTGTTTGATTGATCAAAAAGTACTTTTTCCGTCTTCTTCAATTCAATCTTCTAATCTATATGTCAGGGAATTATTAAAATTTCGGATTTCGGATTGAGTGTAAGCTTGAAGGCAGGTTCATCCATTACTGGTCAAATGAGCATTATACCATTACGGTTTCATATTGCTCTTAGTAGTACAACACATATACTGATTTAGATGGATGGCACCTGAATGCTTAAGATCGAAAATGGAATTCTCATTCAAAACAGATATTTGGGCATTTGGTGTTCTGATTTATGAAGTCTTTTCAAATGGCTCAAAAGTATGTATGATTGGTGTTATAGTTTATGGAATATTCAGCCATTTGTGGATATTGTTGGTGATGATGTTGATCGGCGAATAATCAAAGCAATCAAAAGCTGTCAAATGCCATCTGCTCCAAGAACATCTCATACAGTTGTTCAACAGCTCTTTGATGATATCTGGTTTGTATAGAACTCATTGAAGATCATTAACCAACACATAATCATAGGCAAAAGGATCCAGAGAAGCGACCGACATTTTCAATTCTTCTAAAGAATGTAATTGAAGCTTTACGAGGAACACCTTCAATTTTGCCCACAAAATTTGTTTTGAATAAGATAGAGGGCATTCAGAGAGAATCAGATCCTGTTCGTTCATTCATTTACATTCTATTCTAACTTAATATATTCATTTAGAAATTAAATTATGAAGATAATGAGAAGCGATCAAACAGCTTAAGCAGTAATCAGGTAAGATACACATACATATGATTTGATAGATGTGAATGAGATGAAGCTTCAGGGCCCAAAGACCATATATAGAAAATCAAAACATCGAAATGGCTCATATCGTTTATCATCCAACAAAAATCAAGTAAGTATGATAACATCTCTTCATATATGTATATGTTAGATGATTTCGTGTTCTGTTGTGGATGATGAAGCAAGCAAGGTATGTGTAAATATTTAATTATATAATCAATAAATAAATATTTAAGGATGTTGGAAGATCATTTCATGCTAAAGAACGTCAGCATGTCAGATGATATAAGATGAAGACAGTGTTAGCATTCTAATATATTTCAGCGTAAAAAGCATTTTACTGAACGACAAACAATTCAAGATGATTATGATCATGATGATAATGATGATGACGATGATGAAAACAATGATGATGATGATGATGACGAAAGAAGATCCAATTCGTTGTTTGGCTTGAAATCCGATAAAAGAATTGATGTAGACATGGAAAAAAGAGCTTCATCCATCAAAGATACTTGTAAGACTCCTCCTACTCCTCGATAGATCGCTTGTTTCGTACTACGTTGTATGTATGTAGTAAATGCTGATACATCATTCATACAAATACATATACTTTTTTTTTCAACGAATAAATATCGTTTAACACGCTATGTTCACAACTCTCGTTGACGTCTTCAGCCATCTCTTACTCAAAGCTTTACGTTCTTCATTTTCTCCACAACATCCAAACAACAACAAATCGCCTAAGGGATTTAAGCACAAATGTGAAGAGTAGTTCACTCGGTTCTTCAGCTTTTTCATAAAACTTTGAATATGCTACATGACACTTCGTTCATGTTCTTTACATTTTCTATTATACTGGTACGTTCCGCTGTCCTCTTCGGAAGCTCGTAATCTGTTTGATCTGCTAGCTTAAACGGGGAATTTAATTTTTCCGCATCGAGAAACACCTCTACAACTACAAGTTACTCAAATAACTTCATCTCTCTATTTCTCTCAACATTCAAAAGTAATTGAAACAGGAGATTCTATAAAAGAGTTTATGTACTATGGGAGGACAAACACCAACATGGCTTCTGGTTAGCTGAGCTTTCATCACTTCCCCGTATACTGAGTGCTTTACTCTGATAAAGCATACAGAATGGTACTGATCCTGTACTGTTCAATTCGAGAGTCATTTCTGATGCAACTCGGGAAAGCTTTTTCAGCTTCTGCAGGTTTATTCGATTTAATGGGAAACAGAAGTTTGACATTCATTAAACTTTTCCAATTGTCTACCACGTAAAGCATTTTGGAATTGCGTCATGACAGAGATAAGAAATCGCTCATGTTTATAACGATAAGACTTCTCATTCGAGTCCTCGGATGAGTCGTAAAGAAGAGAATCGAATTGGACTACTTGGGGCAACTAGCTATATTGTAGGATCTATTATTGGATCAGGTAATTGTATTTGGATGAGCATAACACATTTTCATAATCATAGGTATATTCGTCAGTCCCAAAGGAATATTAGAACATACTAAATCTGTAGGACTCTCTCTAATCGTTTGGGTCCTCTGTGCAGCTATTAATGCGATCAGTGCTTTAGTATTCCTTCGCTTCTATTTCATCTCACATATCCCTACTTTAGAATTACATTGAACTGGGAACATCCATTCCACAGTCTGGCTCTGAGTTCGCCTATATCAGTTATGTAGGTTGGGAGCCAATAGCTTTCTCTTTTCTATGGCTGTGTGCTATTATTCAGAGGTAACTCTTCTGTACATCAGTTTATTCTCATTCAAATTGATTTTCAGTTCATGCTCTGGCTCCGTTCTGTTCTTAACCTTCGGACAGTATATGATTCAAGCTGTTGAGCCATTAACATGCTTATCCGACTTCGACAAAAACATAGCCATCAAACTTTTTGGTTTTGGCCTAATATGTAAGATATTTATATACTTATATCGTAATTCTTTTAAAAGTGTTTTTGACTGTCATCAACATGTACTCATTAAACAAGCTGGCTGCTAAAGTTCAAATATTGTCTATGATATCGAAAATATCAGCAGTTGGAATGATAATTGGAATCGGAGCATATTTTATGATCTTTGAAGGTTCCTCGTTCACTCTAATCATATACTATTGGCTTTCTAGGTGCTACTAAAAATTTTAATAAACATCAAATATTCAAAGGAAGCAACTTTTCAATATCACAAATAGTATTATCCATATATCAAGGTAATTGGGCATACGGTGGATATACGACTCTCAACTATGGGACGGAAGAAATTGAAATAACAAATTTTTCAAGGTTTCATTGAATATTTTTGTTCTTATTAATTAAATCTTAAGAACTCTACCAAGAGCTGTACTCGGAGGATTATTCATATCTTCCGTCATTTATGTGATGGCAAATATAGCTTACTTTAGCGTCTTATCTCCTGAGGATATTATACAATCAGATGCTGTAGCTACAGTATGTACATATCGATCAGTTAACTAAAACCCACCAATTCAGCTTTTCCTTCAAAGAACAGTAGGAAACAACTTTGCTTATATTATGCCTGTCTTGGTGGGATTCTTAATCATTGGAACTCTAAACGGTGACATCTTCAGCTGGAGCAGGTAAGAAATGTTTGCAGAAACTACCTCGCAATACTTTTCTCTCTCTAGATATATGCTTGCGGGAGCGAGAAAAGGAATGCTCCCATCTGCCATGGGCTTAATTCATCCCGAAAACGATAGTCCACGTGTAGCTATCTGGACACATGTAAGATTTGCTAAACTTTCTGAGACATAGTGCGTTTTCAGACGATTCTTTGCATTCTGTTTTCATTCATAGGTGATGTCGATCAGCTTGTTGATTATCTGACTGTAATTGGTATAGAAGTAGATGGGGCATCTTCCAATGATCTAAAATTGCAGGCATAATGAGTACGATATGTGCGCTTCTAGCTTTGATCTTAATTAAAATAAAAGGCATACCAGTAGCATCTTCAGCTGTGAAGGTAAGTATCTCGTTGTGACGCCGAAAAATTGATTTAGTTCTCACTTGTATACCCAATCATTGGTTTGATCATTCAAGTGTTTCTTCTTGTGACTCCGATAGTAATTGATCCAATAACTTCTTCTGTGGGAATTGGGCTATTCTTGATTGGAGTAGGTTAGTCGAGTTGAAAACACTCTGGGGGACGCTTTTCCTAACTCTATTTTTCAGCTTCATACTATGTACTTATATATCCGAAAAAAAAGCTGAGTATCTTAAAAACTGCAGATGGTTTGTTTGTAAACATATAACCAGCTCATTTTATGTTCAGAATATTCGACTCGCTTATGCCAACTCATTTTCTGGTGCATATTAGATCTCGATCCTAAACAACGCAAATCATCAGAAACGACAAAAGCTGAAGAAACTCATGAAGAAGAGAGCGAAACCTACATAGAGAGATTTTAAATCTTTTATACAGGAATAGCGAAAAGAAAGTATAATGTTGCCTGTTGGATTATTATACAAAAAGTATAATCAATCGATCAAAATCAGTTGTTTCTTCGATCTTTCTGCATGTTTTTGAATCCAAGGATGGTTGATTATAGCAGCTAATGAAAGTCTCACACTGAATATGTAAATTGCTGAACTTCTGTTCGCAATTGGAAACTAACTCTTCACTATTGCTCAACAGAACGGTCGCTAACCTTAATCCATTTTCTAGCTCGGGTACAACTATATATGAATGATTCTTCTGAAAAAATTGTTTTTTTCTAATAAAACTGCTTTTGGCGTTTCTCACTAGTTTCGGAATATGACTTGAACCGGACATGAACCTATGCAGCATCTTGCCAATCGGTTCGGTATCAATTAGAAAATATGAATATTTACTGAAAACAATACTTTTGAATCATACGTATTTCCTCACTCTTTTGATGGAGCAATGTATAGTGAAGGAGGCAAGAGAATGCCGGCTACTCCTTTTTCATTGATCATTACTCTTGACTCATCTATATCTCCTATTATATAGTTGGAATTATGAAGATATGAGATAGATTCACAAATTTCTAAAGTAATTCAATCGAAAACTGAACTACCGACTACCATGCCTTTAATCCATTTGGCTGCTAGAGCCGGAGAAAGAGGAACCATCTCTTGTAAGCTCAAGTAATCGTTGAGTGAAAGTAGGTTCGATTCCTTAAAAAATGTTCTTATCTATGTTAAACAACTTTTGCAACTTTCTGTATGTAAAGATTGCTCCCCGAATCATTCTTGTTTATTCGCTTAACAAGCTCCTGATAGTCAGAAGTCTTTTCCAACTCATGAATCATCTTTCTATAGTTCTAGTTTCTGAGTAAACACAGAATTTTTCACTACCTTTTCTTCACAAAATAGTTCATTTTGTCTGGGAGTGAAGAGTCCGATGAAGATGAATCTGAATCCATGCACACAGCGTTCAACTGCTATGTTTAGATAACTACGTGATCACAGACTCAGCTCCAAGTCTTCACGTGTCACGTCTCAACATATGCTAACACAACGCGTGATTCTGCTTGACGTAGAGGAAGCGACCGGTTGTTATTGATTTAAGTTGGAAAATAAACGGGCCACACCTATGTTTCTATCGTTTTACCCCATTCTACGTTCTCTTACTTTTCAATAAACGCCTGAGGTCAGTGAATAAAATTTAATTTTATAGAAACATATTAATATTGTGTTTGCCATTTCTTCCCAATAGACAGCGTGCAACTGTTTGAAGAGAGAATACTAGAGAAGCAGACAAAATCTAGTATTTGAAATTATATACTCCCCGTGACATCATCAACATTCAGAATTGTTCATGGCGCAGCAACCACCACCTTATTACAATCATCAACCTACTTCTAGCGTAACTACTTAGTTAGGAAAAATTATTTATCTATTATTTCTAGCAAGTTTACTATCAGCCTGGTACGAACTACCCGCAAGCGCCCAATGGCGCTTACAACCCTTACCAGCCACAACCTCAAATAATGTAAGCTTTTTTTCAACTGAAATTTTCAACGAATATTTACGTCGATACATCGGACGGCTGTCCATATCTGCATTGATTTTCTATCGCTCTCTTCAGTTACGTGGAACGTCCACAACAAAGGGATAGTTCAAACGATTGGTGGCTTACATCGTTACTGGCCTTGTGTTGCGGTTGTTGTCTAGGAGAGATGCTGTGTGATTCACCTTGTCTATGCTGTGTACTCCCTTGTCCGATACGAATGCCGCGATTCCGTTAACTTCAAATACAATTTTGGAACGGTGCAAATTGAATGATTCTGGAGTAAACCTAATGCAGTAAATGGTATATAACAGAACAGGTCTTATTGCTCATTATTCGCTCACACTATCCAACTGAAGTAGCACACTTCAGTAGGAGTAACCTGTGAGGACTAGAAAAAAGGTTGAATGATTTCAATTTATTAGAACTTTCCCTTATCCCAAACAACAAAACCAAACCATTACGCTATAAAACGAAAAGTAAAGCAACAACAACTTCAAAAACATTATTAACAAAATGTTAAAACATCATAAAAAGTCAACTAACGAAGAAGCATGCAAATATGATTATACCCGCTATTAAGAAATAGACCTCATCATTGTTTTTCGTTCGATTCTAGGAACACTTTACATTGTTGTTCATGAAGTTTTTCCAGCTTCTTCCTTAGTTTTTTCGAAATCTGAATAATAGTTTTAAATCAGAAAGCAAAAAGTTCACTTACTTCTTCTCCATCTTTAACGTGAGTTGGTATTCCCTTTTCATCCCAGGCCGAATACTTCTCTTGATCTTCAGCTGTTTTGAACATGTCGTTGGGATTAACCTTCTTTGCAGCAGCTTTGGCTGCTTCTTTGGCTTCTCGTTCAGCAGCCTTCTTTTCTTTTTCCTGAAAGATGAGTGTGAGATGAGCGAAAGATACAACTATCTGGTACAAGTTTCTTCTGTTCTTCCAAAGCTTTCTTCTGCTCCTGCTCTTTTCTCAAAGTCTCTCGATCAGCAAGTTTAACCACGGTTTGACCCGCTCTATCTTCTAGCCTCACTCCAAGTTCTGGTAGAATTTCATCGCGTAAACGATCACATTCCTTCAAAGACATACTGATGGAGGCTTTATCAAAGAACAAACCTCTAAAATTTCAGTGATCTTCTCCTTCTTAGCGATTAAACGAACATTCTCCCGGAAGTCACTTAGGGTAACCAGATATGGCATAATCATTCCTTCATGTGAGCCGGTTTCACCACTAAATGAAATTTGTAAAATGTAAGGGATCTTTCATTATTTACCTAGCTCCTTCAATAGGGAACCCGATGTCTCTGGAAGTGTTGATGATACCGAAAACTTCAAACAAGCGTGTTATGAAAGCAGCTATGTTCTTCAACAACATGCAATTGGGAACCACGTTTTCGGTTTCCTGAAAAAGAAACGTTTAAGAAAAAATAATAACGAACAACCTTCTCCGCGATATATGCATTTCCTAGCGCTACAAGCTCCCTAATTTTATGAACGACCGTACGAGTATCAACAGAATCACATAGAGCAATATGAATCTGAATGTAATAGATAATGTAGGAGTTTATAGAACTGATTTTCTATTACCTCTTCCTTTATACGTGAAAATTGGTTAGAGAGAGTCAATTCTCTTTCATTGAATTTCACGAAACCCTGAATAATTAAAAATAACATTTGCTCAACAATGTTTTTTCATACTGAAGTGCTATCAGGTTTATAATGTCTCCTAAGGAAATCTTTGACGAGCAAGAAGAACTCGTTAGTAACTTTTTCGAAATTTTGAGCAAGCTCCATAGTCGATGGGCTGGAAAAAAGTTTTATCGTGATATTTATATCAAAACAAACCTATAATCCAATACGTCCGTCCAATTATGCATTAAGAAGAGTAGACGCAGTTGACGGGATGTGTAAGATGTCAGAGCCTCACGTATAGTAATGAAGTTTTTCAGAGATTTACTCATTTTCAAACCAGCGATTTTCAAAGTTCCACAATGGAGGAAGTAGTTCACCCAATGAGACTGATCGCTATGAGCTTCACACTAAAAAAATATGAAATTTTCTTCCATTCATAACTAACCTGAGCAATTTCATTATCATGATGAGGGAACTTCAAATCAAATCCACCAGCATGAATGTCCAACTTTTCGCCACAGATTTCGGAGCACATTGCTGAGCACTCGATATGCCAACCTGGTCTTCCTTCAAAGAATACTCCACGTAAACAATAATGAATGGGTGTATACCTTTTCCCCAAGGGGAATCCCAGAGCGGCTCACCAGGCTTCGAAGATTTCCACAATGCAAAGTCCGAGTTGTTCTTTTTTCCCTATAATCCAATATAGAGCACTTAACCAAACGCACAAACCTGCGAAACACTGGTCAGTTCTCCTTCAGCATCCAGTAAAGTTTTGTTTCCTTGATGATCAACAACAGCTTCCGGGACTAACTTAGCATAAAAATGTTTTGGATTAGCTTTGAATTTCTCCGTGTCGAAGTAAACCTTAATTGATTGGACATTATTGTTTTTGAGTGAATCGTTGAAACTTACTGAACCATCGTTAGTGGCATATGCATAGTTGTTCTGGATTATCTTCTGTATGTAGTTGATGACTTCAGGAACATACTCAGATACTCTGGTAAGAACATCAGGAGGTAACACGTTCAATCGATGCATATCAGCCAAAAACTCATTTTCATAACTGAAAACATGCTTTAACAATTGAAATACTGATTGAACACTACGTTTTGGCCAAATTGTTGAAAATACTATGATCAGTGATTTCGTGACCGTACTTGGAATCGAGCCAATCTGACAGAATATCTCTGGCATCGTTCAAAAGTCTACCCTAGATTACAATAATGATGTGGACTAGAAGAAATATTACAAAAGCATACTTTAGCTGATTCTATACTAGGCTGATCTCCGGAAATCAAAGCTTTCTCTAGAATGGATGCAGATGATTCAACTTTTGTGATCTGAAGATATATTCAAATAAGTCCCACAAAAAGAAAAAAAACCATTTTGGCTTGCATTGCTTTCTTGTCCACATCTTCTTCATTTTCGAATTTCACCTAAAAGCATATTCAGCTTTGATATACACAACACGTTACCTTGAAAAATTCTAAAGAAGCGATCACATCAGAGGTTATTTCAGCAACTGAAGGAGCCTGTTTTCCATCAACATAATTAGTAAGTAGATGGCGTTGTCTTGCTCTTTAAGAAACAAAACATTACAGATAAATGTTATTGAAAACCTTTTGATGATCTTATCGTCGATATCTGTAATGTTCATTATGAATTGAACATCATATCCAAAGTAATCCGTCATTACTCTTCGAAGAATATCTAGCGAAAGATAAGCACGTGCATGGCCCATATGAGAGGAATCATAAACAGTAGGACCACATATGTACCATTTTACCTATGAAAAAAGTTTATATTTTCAATGAAAAAAATACTTACTATCCGACCTTCATTAGGTACGAACACTTCTTTTTTCCTGCTCAAACTATTGAACAAGGTCAAACTCGGAGATGGTCTCAGATTATTAGGAACATTCCACTGCTTTTGGGCTCTCTTAGCTTGAAGAAATATCATTTATCAGTTGAAAAACGGAGCTTCTTACCTTCAGTCATTGCTCTACAGTTTGAGAGAACTGGTGCTCTACTTCGAGAAAAAAGCCTAGTGGTAAAAACAATAGCCGACGTTTTCGTCCCTGGAAGGAATACTTCAAGTAAATAATTTAAAAAACTGAAAGCTTGTGATTTCAACGAAATGAAACGGAATCGATTGTTCTGCTGATATGAACTGCGGCGTGACCAACTAAAGCAAATAGAACGGAAGCTTTTGTTATAGCTTTTAGTGAGATAATCGATATTCTACAGTCCATATACGATTTTTAACAATGGAACAAAAGAAAGATGCAAAATTATTATTTATTTTTTTTCTGTGAAGCGTTGAAATTGTAAATGAAGGTCGGAAACAATTGACAATAGAGCATCATATCATAAAGCAATGGAATCGATTTATCGTATCGGTTTGATTTAACAAATAGGAACAGAATTAGAGTTCATTAATGATGGTAGTAAAGTTACTTGGCTTAATTAACATTTTTGGGATGTTGAGTGAAATTCAGAATTGAAGTCTGAGTTATTATTGTAACAAAACAAGTTGATTAAGAAATGTGGGCGAAAAACTTGTTCCGAACAAGTTATAAATCACAGCTAATGCTGGAAGAACTCAATAATATATCCAAAGATCTGATGGGCATTAATTCTGAGTAACTTGACCGCGATAAGGAAAACATTGTAGGATGTCCCACGATCAGAAGAAGGTGAGTATAGCTTAGAAATAAATACATCATTTTCTCAGCTTTATGTCTATCGTTTGGTTGCCATCTCTTCACTGGGGTTTTCGATCGCATCGATAGCCTTTATGTCAGCTTCTATCACTTTGATGAAGTACTATATGAAAAACTCTTACATAGCGAGCGAACATCAGATCAAAAACTGTAGTGTAGGCGAATTCAGTTTAAAATTGATTTATCAGATTTGTAGTATCTTGTCGAAGATATTCTGAAATCATTTGACGATTTCCCTCCTTCCAATCGTACAAGAACGTCTAGACGAGTTCATCAAAGACATCTCAATGGAATCAGACAAAGAAGTGTTTTGAACGCGTGTGATGATTGTTGTATTCCTGGGCCTCCTGGACCAATTGGTGCTCCAGGACGACCGGGACGTCCTGGAAGACCAGGAGTGTCAGGTGCTCCTGGCAGACCTGGAAACCCTCCGAAAGAACCTTGTCAGGTCATAACACCACCACCTTGTGCGCCATGCCCTCCCGGTCCTCCAGGACCTCAAGGCTTGCAAGGAGCACAGGGAGATATTGGTCTACCTGGAATGTCTGGAACTCCAGGTGGTAATGGTATTCCTGGTGAGCCAGGACCGCCTGGTGAACCAGGAGAACCTGGTTTTCCTGGAGAAGACGGGCCACCCGGTCCACCTGGTAAGTTGAATTCGTTTTTTAACCTAACGTATGTTTTTCAGGAGAGTCGGCTCCCAATGAGCCACTGCTTCCAGGTTTACCTGGTTCCCCAGGTAAACCTGGAGCACCTGGAGACCCTGGTGCAGCTGGAGAAGATGGAGGTCCAGGCATAATGGGACCACCTGGACAGAAAGGTCCTGCTGGTCAAAATGGTCTCCCTGGAAAAGACGGGCCTCCTGGCGAATCTGGTCTATCGGGACCATCTGGAACCTCAGGAGAGAAGGGGATTTGTCCGAGATATTGTGCTTTAGATGGAGGTTCCTTTTTTGATGAGAGTGCACAACATTAAATACTTAATATTTATCTTTCATTTTCGATTAAACAAATGAAATCAGAGATCCTGAGCAGTTACCATTCAGCATATTTAGAAGAAAGTAGATAGTCTTTGTATCTGCACCAAGTCATCAATAATGTGGTATCTATAAACAGCTACCAATTGCGAAAAGTAAATAAATCTCACCTGCTAGCACCGAATTTTCTTGATATTTCTTGCTTTTCCGCCGTTGACAAATGCAAGAACTGGTTGACCAGATCGCCGTCCACCATGTTTTTTTGATTAGCATTGTTGATGATAGCTCTCACAGGCTTTGCCGCCCTGGCACCCTAAAAAGTTTATCATGAAGAATTGACAACGAAATGCTGGCGAACCTTCGGGTTTAAACCTGCATCGTGTCTTATACCAACAGTCATGAACTGGTGAAGTGTAGATAACCTTCTATAAAACAATAACAGATGTGTTCGGTTAGTTAATGCCGACTAACCGGAATGTTTTTTCACTTATCGGCCTCACATATCCTATACTACCATCCAAAGAAGCCCATACTGAAGTTTGTTGCTGAGACAACGCTTTGCGCTCTTCCTGTGAGGCAGATACAGAATATGGATTACCTGATCAAAATAAGATTTATGCTCCTGCAAATGCAAATTTACCTTTCACTCTAATCCAGGCATTAATGTTGGTACCCACGTTCACAACTGAACGGAGAACCAACCGTTCTCCTCCCACAGATTCATTAAGCTCAGGCATATAATTGAACATACATATGTTACCAGATTCATCAGATAACAAGAAGCCCAAATGACTAAACAGAGAGTCGAGAGAAAGAGAAGAAATTGAAGTTACTTGTTATCTACTATGTACTGAGCTTGCATTGGGGGCTGTACAGCAATACGATCATCTCGAGCAGCAACAGACAAAGCTTTGAATTGTTCCTGGAACAATATAGTTAGGAAGAAAAGAGAATATTTGGTCAAACCTGGAACCGCACCAAAGACATAGACTCTTGCATATCACATGCAAGAGCCAGGTTTCGGAAACTTTTGAGAGAGTGTACATAATAGTGCATGTCTAAGAAACTAACTCCCTGAATCTCGTTATCTCGTAAGCCCCATATGAAAATCTACAATTAACAAACTATAGAGTAATTACAAGTGGTGGTGCTCACTTTCTGACCCATACCTGTCAGCAGGAAACCATTTACTGAACATATAGACGTAACAGGACCTTTTTGCTCTGTATTATACGTGATCTGAAATGACCAGATAACAACATAAAAAAACTGTTCCAATATTCTACTTTAATTTTGTGTTTGGATGTCGGCTGTCCAGGAATGGGTACTACGTCAATGACTTCTGCTAAAATTATGCGACCTCGAACTAGATGCTGAACATTCTATTTAGTTGAGAATCAGTTGGACAAAAACCTCTTCTCCAAAGTTATGAATTGTACCGACTGCCAGATAAGTTTTCAAACCGCTGATAGTCGATTCGGACTTAAGAGCAACTTCTTCGCAGGCAGTAACGTGTTCCATAACTTCAAACTCTATCGAAGTATTTGGAACTGGGGCCCAGTCCACAGGCGAGTACAGCTAAGCAAAAATATTTAAACGAAAACAGCATTGCATTTACATTCAGAACGAAGTGAGGAATCGTCGGTAGAACGAAATCATTCGGCTTCTCGTGCACTTCCTCCTGTTTATCATCGTTTATAACAACCCAGATTTTATTGGATGGTCGAGGAGTTGATGTCACCACAGCGTACACCTTGATAATAGAATCTAACTGACTAATAACATTTCACGAAAAACCTGACTCTCCATCATATACTGATTGAAATGCACTGTCGCTCCTACATTCACTTTTTTGCAAGGGAAGGGTAAATCGTAGTTAATGTCCGTCTGAAACTCAGTAATTTTAAAACCTTACATACAATATCTGACCGGTAGCTCCGCTATTCTGAGCTCTTGTGAGTTCTCGCTCAAGTATAAGAATCCATTAGAGACATTAGAGTTGTTAAACGCAGTGAAAGAGCGAATAGGTCCATCAACAATGATTGGATGAGATCGTAATCCTCCCCAAGCGCCGAAAAACACTAAAGTAGGATACTGTCCACATATTACTGCTCCATGCATCTTAAAAATATTAACTGATAAGACATATACTATCACTTCACATACAATACTCGATACTCTTTCGAACGAAGTTATGATTTTATTAGTACTGTAACCATCTTGTCCTATTTCCACCTATAAAGTCTCTGATTAAGTATACTATATTAAGCTATACCCCTTGTCGTCTTCCATCAGAACCCATGTAAGGAGAAGAACGGAGACAGATGGAGAGAGGTAATCTTTTGAAAGCAATGCAAAGATGCCCTGTAAAACGGATCAACAACGATAGTACTGAAATAACGAAACCATTTTTTTTGTTTGGTAATTGGTACATCTCATAAGCTATGACCATATCATCAACAACTGCTAAAAGAACTGGCCTACACTGACTGATGCCCATACCTATAACAAATTCAAAAGTTTCCAGCTTGACCATACTCGTTACCTATTATTTCTAATTCTACAACTCGCTCATCTCTTCGTACAACTTCATGTAGTCCTTCGTTCACTTCATTTTCATTATCCTTTCCCTTACGTTCTAACTCATGAGCTGTGAAATGTGGGAGTTAAAAAAATGAAAGAAGAAAAAACCGAATTCTTTTCTATCCTTCTCTTCTTCCTCCTCCGTGATATCAAATAATGTTGGAGGCATTCCGGTAAATTTACGAACCTATGAAAAACATTACATCGAAAACATAACTGGCCTACTTGAAAAACAACTGTGAGATCAGAAAGAGAACAAATCACGAATTTTCCGTTGTCTACAGCAGCAACAAGCCAGAAAGTTGGCTCGACTGAATTTCAAACTCAAGCAGAACTGTATTTTATATACCTGAATTGGGATCCACAGCGTCAGACTCTTCCCCACCCGTTACATCTGATACGATTCCTCCCCATTTTCTTTTTCTCGACGAATTATCTTGAATACAGATATTTGAATTAAAACCATTCCTCACTAACCAGGAATTTGGGCTGACTGTGTAGCAGACGGTTCGCCATATAACAAAAAATCTTCGGCATCTTCAAGAGCACTTTCTTGGGGGGCACCTCTCTCAAAAAGTTGATATAAAAAGAGCGTAGTAAGAAAAAAAAATTACGTTGTCTTTGTATATTTTCGAGTTTTCACCAGCGGATGCAGTAGATCTAACCATCATCCCACTCATATCTTTATAAATAGACAATGCAGTAACCGTAGAAGAACCGAAGACAGTATCAAAGAGCTCAACCTCCTAAACTATCTATAAAAAAATCAGCGCTCAATTTCACTAACCTGTAGGTGAACACTCGGTTGGAAAACAAGCTGGTACAGAAATAGTTTTCCATTTTGAGTTAGCATTGCTACATACGGATCAATAATTGAAGCAGAGGTTATAGGAAAATTGGTGTCCAGCTCGAACTGTTGAATTTGCTTATTACCAGCAACTAACACAACACCCATGGCCGTAATCTGCAAAGAATATGATAATTGTTTGGGCTGTGAGAAATATTACTTGAACAACTACTGCCCCATCAGCTAATTCTCCTGCAAGTAAAGTGGGTTCAGAGGAGAGGAACAGAGGATCTTCTATTTCAACCATTTCATCGCTTAGTTCCAGAGTCAGAGTACTTCGTGCTCTAGATACCATCAAATACCTCAAAAAAATTTTCTTAATTCATCTTTATTTGACTGTTCACTTGTGAGAGCCATCTTCTCGTTGGCCAACAGCCCACAGCTGTTCTGCTCCGTCCAATCTGAGGAAATAAGTATTGGAGTTCACAAAATAAACCAAACCCGCTACTACTAATAATTTCTGGCCTAATGGTTCTTTGTAGGATACAGATGCAACCATTTTTCGCGTACCCAGAAGCAGAGATCTGAATATACGATTGTGAGAAGCAAAGACAAAAATTTACCATATCGAATAAGGGACAAGCCCGGTCTTCAATGTCCAAAAAAGGACTTGAATTAGTTTGGCCGGCAGTGATCGAACGAATAGGACCAATGTTCGTCAACCTATCTAACTCCTCGAATTCCCAAAATTCCTCCATGACCAAGAAGGATTTCTCCTGAACACATTCATGCATCCATTTTATTGGCTAGTTCTTACGTTCATATCTTCTTCAGCTACGCCGTATAAAGCCAGTTCCTCTTCATCCAGCTCTACGTTACTGTGTTTTTGTTTTTTTTGAGCAACTTCCTCATGCTCATTAGTTTCCACTTCTGTAACTCGGAGTTAAAATTTAATAGAACAATAGCGAAACCTTTAGTTGCGATAGAATATTTCAGAAGTTGTGAGTCACCCAATCTAGATCCAACAAAGAGATGGCCTGGCGCACACATAGTCAGAGTGAACGGAATAGAAATGTCTGAAGAGGTATAAAAAAAATTCAGAATTAAAGCACGCACCATAAAAATATTTTAGGTTCAACCCTTTCACAGTGTTAGCATTGTCAGTAACCAGAGACAAGACGAAGAACTGCCCTTCCATCGTTCCTATCCCAATGTTACCGTTTTTCAGCCAGACGTGACATGATGCATCTAACGTCATTGCCATGTCTTTAATATTCTAGAAAACCTTCATAATTCATATAATATTTCAAAGTTTACTTTTAAGGGAAATTTCGTGTAGTTATCATAACAACTGTTCAACATAATTCCGCTCGGTGGAACCGCTTGATTGAGATATATTGCCGTGTTTGAACCAAAAACTACAGCCCCACCAATGGGTTTCGGTATAGCAAGAAGACGACTACCTTAATACAAATGAGATCGGATGCAAAACGCAATATTTACCATCCATAGGTAAGTTGTTCAATTGCCAGACGACAGCGAAACGCTGATCGTTCACATTTACTGAAACTCCCATGATACACATAGTGTCAAATCTGATTGAGGCTCTAGAAAATCAAATGTTAAAAAGGACTGAGTAAGAAAAAGAACCGTCCAGCAGTCGTTTGCAGAGGTTCAAAAAGGAAAAGTAATGTGGGTTCATAATATCCATCTAGAAAAACGATGTCAGCAACATTTTCCAATCTGTAAAAACTTCAAGTTTGATCTTCAATAATATTATCAATCACCTGGAATCTATTTGTTTCAAGGATATTATAAAGCTCTTGGTATGTTTCTGGCCTTCAATGAATGGTAATATTGCTAGATGCTTTCCATAAACTAACATGGCCGCACATCTCCCACCCGGATCACTCTGGAGAAAGATATTGCTTTGTTGATAGAGAACTCACTTTGATCATGGGATTCGGAAAGTTTTTCGTGTTACCCTCACGTAGATACTCGTCTTCAAAGGAATGCATTGAGAGAGTATTCAGCTTTCTTTCTTTCTCATCAATAGTTACTATTGATAACTTAGCATCGTCAAAGGCTAATAGAATCGCTTCAGCATCCAAAGCTAAATAATGTCTTAGATAACACGGTATCATTGTCAAACTAACAAGGAAACTTAGAAGTGGCCAAAGACTTAACAGGGGAAAAAAGCTTGGTTTTGAAAACACATTCAAGCTTTGTTTTCTGTTCCCAATCATCACCAGAATTTGCCGGAGGGACTAGTGCATATGGATTAGTTCGGAATATTCGTAAAAACTTGGATCCTATTGTGAGTAGCTGATTACCTATAAGGCACTTCTAGACATATCAAGTGAGACTTTTATTACCACTGCCCTTCCCAGGAAGAAACTTCCCATATGCACTGAAATTTACGGTGGTGGAGTCATCGGTCTCAGACAAAAATGAGTACATCTATTACTTCATAAAGTTTCGTGGCTAAAACAGTAACGTTTCGAGTTAGTAAGTTCCAGGAACAGAGCAAATATGATCATCGCAAGCAACTTGTTCAATTAAACAGGAGCATTATATATATTTATTCATTTAAACATTGTTCAAAGTTTTCCAAAAATACGGATTCTGCTGAAAACGACGACTGAAGCTGTTAAACCATTGTTGGAAAGCTGAGAGAGGAATGAAATCGGCAAACCCTAGAGAACCCTATTCTTAATACTCTATAAAATCAGCAAAACTTGCCTGTACCATCAGGCTTTGGCATATTTATGGTAAAAGACTCAACGTGGTTAACCAAATTGCGTACCATGCGGTCGCCAAACTCAGCCATTGTAGCCTTGGAGAATTTGGTGGATAAACGTCATGGAATGAACACGAACCTTTTGTGAAGCGTTCGTTTCAACCTCGGTGACTTTCCCTTCGATCGTTTTCAATGTTTCAACCATGATACCAATTTGAGCACATCCAACTTCGCCCGAATATGCTGTATCTCCGAAAACGTTGGAATATTTGGCATCGCATTGATGTAACTAAAACGACCCTTTCTGAAGATAGGATTAATATCGAACCTGAGTAATTTTGAATATAGCACTTGGTTTATCATTACTAATAAATCCCAAGTAGTGCCAATTGCTCTCTGCATTAGCGCGAGGCCATCGTATATATACTATATCAGAATGAGGAAGTTTCACGAAATGTTTCTACCTGACCCTCCGAAATCAGCGGGGAACGGCTGGGTTCCAGTCATAAATATAACAACATGATTAACGGACTCTATATTAGGAACTTCACACAAAAACTCAGTTTCCCCGAATTGACTAAATTGTTGCGGCTGAAAAACAGGAACTTCGACACAGAACTCTTGAAACTTACAAGCTTTCCAGCTGCAACAATTGCAAACATCGACAGAACCTAAACACTCAGACTATTAACCTCTTCAGCAAAATTTCATAACGGTATACACGCTAAAACATAAGAGATTGAAAATAGCGTAATAATATTTAATATTTACGAGAAGAAACGAGTCTTCTATACAAGAGAGAACAAGAACAACAATGCTGGTCGTAAACATAATAAGAGTATCAAATTAATATCTTTGATCCTGCTGAGCGTTAGCCCATTGCTGGGCTCCTGACTGACCGCCACCCCATCCTCCGGGTTGCATTCCCCAGCCTCCGGAATGAGGAGCACCTCCCCATCCTCCTCCAGATTGACCACCCCAGTTTGCACCCCATTGGCCGGGAGCAATATTTTGATGTCCATATCCTCCACCATATCCACCTGATTGATAACCGCCAGCGGGTACACAATCACCTACGCAAGCTATTTGAGAATTATTATGCAGATTCATACCTCGGTAATATTGAGGAGGGAACCGGTCATGATCTCCTGAGTTGGGAACATTGGAACGAGATCGAACCATTCGATCACTGCGATCTCTCTGATTTTGAGCCTGAATTAGTCCGATAATCGACCATTATTTTCTCGAAGGCACAAACCTTATTCATTTCTTCCTTGCTCAAACCTTTTTTAACATCACAACGGAAACCATTAATCATATGGCTACGTTGTAGAACACACTGATCGACAGGATCATAGTCATTGAAAGTAACAAAACCAAAACCTCTAGGTTTACTTGTAACTTTGTCCAAAATAATTTCAGCCTTAAATTTTTATGCATTGTGTTGATTGTGGAGAAACTACCGACTTTTTCAACATTTCCAAACTTGGTGAAATACTCTTTGAACATATCCTCAGTATGATCTTCACGTACTCCACTAACATACAATCTTTTCGTTGAAATATTTGATTCATTTCGATTTTTATCATCCTTCGGAACTGCTCTTTTGGGATCAACAGTTTTATTATCAATGACATGAGGTCTCGCACTCATAGCTGCATCAACCTAAGAAAGTTAAGCAGTATGAAATGATATAATGATAAAGATACCATTGATTTAGCTGCGAAAGTAACAAATCCAAAGCCTCGAGATCTCTTGGTGTTAGGATCTCGCATAACAATGATGTCTGTTAATTCACCGAATTGTGAGTAAAATTCACGCATTGTGTCATCAGTAGTATTAGCCGTTAGACCCCCCACAAATATTTTTCGGAAGTTTTCTGGCTCAGATACATCGCTGCCAGCAACATTAGGCTTTGTCTGAAATAGTAAAATAAAAAGCATCTTGATCGGCCATATTTATAATTGCTCAATCTGCGCGTATTTAAAGCCCCACTTCTAAAGTCAAAATATTTCTTACATAGTCAATTTCTTCAGCCATAGTTCAACTTCTTAACCGCTAGAAAAAAACTTCTCAGCGAATGGATGCTTTAGTCTAGCTTATCTAGCTTGCTTGTTATGATGAAGATTAATTCCTACTCAAGGGGCGTAATACCTAAATCGTTTTTGTGTTGCTTAGGCCATTTCTATTTAGATATATCTTATAGCTAAAATCCCAAGTAAAAGCATTAAATCGCATGCATTCAAATAACAAAAAAAACATACCGAGGAACCAAAGCAATCACTTTCAAAATAAGATATTTGTTAATTTTGCCACGCGTCTATATCGATTTTTACTATCGCGGCAGGACCTATATACTTCATAACTTGTTATGACCTCTCAAGGTTTTTTTCTGTAGCCAACGGCTGATATACAAGATTTATATATCTAGGACTTCCTACAACTTTTCATTTTGCACTTATACAGAGTAAAATTCACAAGATTTTTCTATTAAAATCGAAGTCTTTTGTATTCGTTTTGCCTAAGGAGAGTCGTTCCTTCTGGACGAAGCAAGTTCGAAAAAATCGAAATTGGAAGAAAAACTATATTGTCTAGTGAAACTGGATTGACTTTTATTTTTTACTGAAACATTTACATTTTTTGAAAAGTACTATACGCACATAGTTGTTAATACAGAGTTCCAGTTATATTGGAAAAAATATTTTGCTCATACAAAATTGGTGGGGGGTAAAAGCTGTTCTATCGTACAGGAAAACTGAATTTCCAAGACTGTCGGGCGACAGCAGAAAAAGATAAGAAGATCTCAGAAATCCGATGTTAAAGAAGTTCATTGTTCGAAAATGGGAGGTGCCTCATGACTCTATAAAAGATGAAGAATCTGAGAAAAAAGTATCGGCTTCCACGGTTTCAGCCATGGATATCGATACAAAAATCAAAGCTTACCGCTTCGTAGCTTACTCTGCAGTGGTTTTCTCCGTCATCGCTGTACTTTCCGTATGTATCACACTTCCAATCGTGTATAACTACGTTCATACCGTACGTAGACAGCTTCACAATGAAGCCGTCTTGTGCAAGGTTAGTCAACTGTTTCAGTATCCGTTATATGATTAAATCCAGGGACAAACCCAAGATGTATGGGCTGATGTATACAAACTAAAACAATACGCCAATCATTCTAACCGTACCGCCCGTCAAGCCGGTTATGGTGGAGAACCAGAAGTATACAGACCTTCTGCTGGATACGGAGATTCTTCCTCCTATGGACCATCTTCAGGATCCTACGCCCCAGCTGGGCAAGGAGCCTACGGAGATGCCGCTCAAGGACAAGGCCCAGTCGCTTACAACTCACCTGAACCACAATTCGAGACCGGTTGCGAGGGTTGCTGTCAACCAGGACCTGCTGGTCCTCCAGGACCTGCTGGTAAACCAGGAAGACCAGGAAGACCAGGAGCTCCAGGAATGCCAGGAAATCCAGGAAAGCCACCAAGCAAACCATGTGATGTTGTTACTCCACCACCATGCAAGCCTTGCCCACAAGGACCACCAGGACCACCTGGTCCACCAGGACTTCCAGGAGATAATGGAGCTCCAGGTGACGCCGGAGAGCCAGGACAAGACGCTGACTCCGGAGAGCCAGGACCAAGAGGACCTCCAGGACCACCAGGAAAGCCCGGACAACCAGGAGAGCCAGGAGAACCAGGTCTCCCTGCTGAATGTGAGCCAGTTACCCCAGGAGAGCCAGGACCAGACGGTGAAAAAGGACCACAAGGACCACCAGGAACCCCAGGACAACCAGGAAACGATGGAGCTCCAGGTAAATAATTCGTCTCTTTCCGAAAATACAATAATCTGTTTCTTAAGGCTTGCAAGGACCAAAGGGAACTCCAGGACCTGACGGACAACCAGGAGCTGATGGAAATCCTGGCCAACCAGGACCAGTTGGACCACCAGGAACCCCAGGAGAGAGAGGAATCTGTCCAAAATACTGTGCCATTGACGGAGGAATTTTCTTCGAAGACGGAACTCGCCGTTAATCACCAATTTTGTCTGAAAATTTTAATTTATTTGAACACAATGTGGTTAATGCAGTATATAAATACTTTCATTCCATTCAAATTTGTTTATCAGTTGAATTTCTCGATACGAGAATCTCAATCTAGTACGAAGATTTCCGCATACAGCGTTAGTCACATCTCTGATTCACTTCTACGAATGCACAAAAGGAATTAAACGATTACCAATGTGCGAATAGTTCAATATTTTCTCAACTATATGTTTATTTCTTAATGAATCACAATTTTTAATCCGGGGATGAGAAAGCTCCATAAAAGCCTTTCCATTTTTCATATTCAACTTTCATCATGCTTCGACTCTTGCTTTTCACCTTAACTTGCGTGACTGTATATGGAAGTCGTAATTGTTACAAAGTTCGTTCCTTATTTGAAACTGATTGAAAGAAATATTTCAGTGCGCTTCCACAGAGCTCCAAAGTCGATGGTTTTTAACAGGTCTTCCAAAAGCTGGAGACATATTTGGCGATTGCCTATCGCTGGTGATTTTTGTATTTCATTTCAAAATCCAACAATTATGTTAAGGGCAGCTCAACCCCTGTTGAATCTTGTGATGGTCCTTGTGTCACTTTGATGTTTGATGATCCTGATCGTAAGTTATCTTAAATTGGAAGCTTTTCAGTTTTTGATTTCAGAAGTAGCCGGATTCACTCCTCTTATAGTTAGAGGGTGTCAGGCTACATTGATGCAGGTTACTTTTTCATTTTTATATTTCCTAAGTCTTCATTGATGAGCTTTAGATTCAATCTGATCGAGGGTCGAACTCAGAAAAATTCTGCGAAATCGACAATTCTTATAAAATTGCAAACAGTAAAGGAGTGACAGTGGAAATAAAAATGTTGGCTGAATTCTGCTCTGGGTTCGTTAGAAGAAGCTGTTCTTCATCTTTGTTTTAGTGATTCAAATAGATGTAATGACAGAAAAAATTATGAAAATTGTTCATCAGGAAAAGAAGGTTTGATGATCTTCAGTATTTTTTAAAGCAGAATTTAGGAAATAATCAACTGATATCATGTTATGACTGTAATGCAAAACAAGGGAAAAACTGCAAAGATGGTAAATGCAATAAAAAATATTGTATGAAGCAGAAAGCTAAACTTGGAGGTAAAAGTTGATTTCTGCTTTTACTTAAATGTTACTTTTTCTAGGCGGATATCAAATTATTAAAACATGCTCTAATGTCAACATATTTGGGGTAGACAATTACTGCTCGTCGGAAGATGTGCTTCTCACACCTGGTGGAATCACTTTCCAAACCAGATACCAACAATGTTTTTGCAAAGACAAACAGTTTTGCAATTCGTCAACCTATTCTTCATTCTTTCTTTCTTCTATCTTACTAATAATCTCCTTATTTATGAAAGAATAGTTTATTTAATGGAATCAAATAATTTAAGTAAGAGCCGCTGTTTGGTTCTTATCTGTTAACAGTATCCACAAGTCTTGGCACATTTAACTTCATGAATAGTTTTATAAAACTTTTCGGAACAAAATCCATTTCTTGCATACGATTCACAGTTCACATCCTCAAAATACAAATCTATGATTGCATTACTGAAAAAATACTTACGCGATCTTCACAAGTAGTTTTATGCAATCGTGCTGGCGGTGAGCAGAATCCACATGAATGAGGACACAATTTAAGCATGGTTGACCGATAGAAAGACATCTCACAGAGTCCTCTCTTAAATAATGATAGTTCAACTATATACAAATTCAGCTTACGTTTTTCATTGAGTTACAAGAGTTGTCCTTATCTGCACAAAGTTCATTCGATTGTTCTAGAAATATTTCAGAATGATTGGCTACGTACGAAGTTTGTCAACCCTTTTCGCTATCGCATTTCCCTATTCTATTGAGTTTTTTGATATCCAAAAATGATAGTTTCATGTTGTCATCCAATCGAACATTTCTCTGTAAATATCATTAAGAAGTGGTATGAGATTCATCTCTTACAGCTAACGGTAACATGGTAACTAATCGTTGGCCATGCATTACTTTACCGAACGCGAATCCATCGTAATGCATGATAGATTGATAATCATACTTGTCCGTATATTCCACTCCATTTTCAGCCAGTTTATCGAAGTTTGCTAAATGTTTCGATGAAACAATGAGACTAGGTGGAAACAAACCAAACCTATTTGTCTCATATCCACATTTTCATAAACAACTCGAATATATTTGTCTCTATCTGGTCTTTGATGTTCATGCTCAATCCCTATGGCGTGCATCACCTTAACTTCGATATAGAGGATGTTTTTACTCAAGAAATTGTTTACTTCATGCCAGATGATGTAATCAGCTAAACAATCTTCGGATAATGATAGCAACTGTCGACCTCCTTTTTGAAATACATGTTTAGCGAGAAGTTAACTGAGATCAAGTACCTGTTTTTCCGACATAAGAGTAACATCCATCTAGTGCATCAATGAAAAGATAGTCCTTTTCAGAAACTCTGGGTTTGAATTGGAAACAAGTCTTCTCTTCGAACGACTTCAAAGCTTCCAAAATAATTTCAGCGCTAAAACTCAACGATTTGAGGACAACTCGATTGGCCAAAAAAATACTTTTGTTTTGAATATTTTGAAGAAACAACAAAGGGTATAGTGTTGTTCTGCCACCGGTTAACGGTCGTTTCTTTGATGAACAAATGTCGTACTGAGCTGTCTTTATGAGCATAACGCTGTCTTTGACTTGGAGTCAATACTAAACAAATGTATGGAAAGTATCAGATACGCAAATAACTTACTCATGTCACCATAAGTTGTTAAGTCTTTCTGGTTTTCATTGATTTGCCATATTTGAACAGATTTTACAGATGGTAACCACAGAAGAAACAGAATCACATAAAACATAGTCTAATTAAATAATTGTCCATTTTCTAGCACAGATTCCATTTTTATATGGTGAGTGAATGCTGAATAAATAGTCCACAAAGGAAGAAAAACGCTTTGTCTTGAAACGATGAAGCATGTGGAGCAGCTGAAAAATATAGAAAAATTAAATAATATAAAGAAAGAAAGAAATGAAAAACAAGTTAAATTAACATGAAATGAAAATCCACGAGTGGTATAATCGATCACAAATGTTGATAAGGTGATAAGAATGATGTAGTGAGTAACAGAACGAGTCTAACATGACCTCTTCATTTGACTGTCTAAAAGAAGCCATTGGTTCAGTAAAAGAAATCGAGAAACATCGAAAAGAATGCGAGGTTAGTTATATTTTTTTCTCTTCCAATTTGATGAATAGGTATGCGGTGATCAAGCAAATGGTTATAACTTTGGTGTTCTAACCTGCGAGTCATGTAAAGCTTTTTTTCGACGAACAGTATCGAAAAAGAAAGTAATATTCTGTTATTCATTCAAAATAAGTTTTCATAATTTTTTCCAGCCAATTCTTTGTCCCTTTTCCAATTCCTGTGGTATCACGGCTGCTTCTAGAAGATTTTGTCAGGCATGCCGTTTGAAAAAATGTTTTTCCGTATGATTTACTAACAGTTGACCAGCCAAATTCTAAACTTGTAGGTGGGCATGCGTCTGAATCTCAAAAACGTCACTCCTACAATCCAGAAAAAGCTACCCAAAAAGAACAAAAGCATAGAAAAAGTAGACTGCTATTGCAGCTTCATTGAAGATTCGAATGTTTCAGAATACTAAAACACATTGTGAGTGCGTATGTCAATGTGGTTTTTTCCCTAAAGATACACTACTCGCGTCAACAAAATACAAGGTGATTTTTATTTTTTTTTAATATTTTACATAACATCTAAGAATGTTCCCAATAAGTGCGAAGAAGAAAGCACCATGTTACAGTTAGGGTTTTCCAACTGTGAAGCTGAGCCCGTGCAATATCAAAGTCGTTCTGTTTGGGGACCAGCAGACGAGTCAGAACTCTGCAAGTTTGAATCAGTATTCTGTATCATTTCAGAGTGAGTCAAATAGAGGCCAAACAAAATGAATGGCCAGTGCTCAGCCATGCTGTTGAGAATCCAATATCTACAATTTTGAAAGTGTATGATCCTGTTTCAGCAGAAAAGTATAACTGCTTGATTCCTACGGAGAAAACTCTACTAAGGGTATTGAAAACTCACAACCATTTCAGTAACGTGAATTGAAGGAATTGATACTTGCTGCTGCTCCTCTTAATAATCCTCTGGATATGCAGTTTGAAAACGATCAGTTATCTTTACTCGATATTGTTCGCATAACTGAAACCGCATTACGACGTATTGTTTGTATGGCAGTTGAATTACAATTCTTCAGATCTTTGCCACTGGAGGATAAGAAAATACTGATTAAAGGTACTTGAGAATTTATTTTTCTTAATAACTTTTCTAGGCTCGTGCACGGAACTATTGATATTGAGGGGTGTGATGGCCTATGATTCAAATAGAAAGATCTGGTCACATTCCTTCACTCAGGTTTCTCAACTTGTGATTTACTAAAACTATTTTAATTAGAACATTCGGGGAATGGAAATAAAGTTAGACGTGTTACAACGAACTGTTGAATCGCAACACTTCGAAGAGCATAAAAGGTATTTTAGCTTGCTGATTATAAGATACACCAATGCTAAAAGATTTCTAGAAAGCTTTGATGCTCGAGTCCGGAAAACCGAAAATGTTATTCTAGTACTCATGGCTATAGTCATTTTTCAATCAGATAATCCGAAACTAGGTGATCAGAAAAGAGTAGATGAAGCCCAGAAAGGGTATTTAATACTACTGAAAAAGTAGCAAAATGTGAAATCAAAGAGAGAGTAACTGATGATTGCATAGAGTTCTGGAATGCGAATTTGGCCAAGCAAACTGGGAGAGTATGTTTAGTCAACTGCTGACAAATCTTCAAAGTTTGAGGGAGCTCAACCAAGGGTTGGTGAAGATTTACTGTGGATTTGACAGCTCCCAACTAGATCCTTTACTGAAAGAGCTTTTTGATATGTAATAGTATTTCAATGTAATTCTCTATCAAAATAGTTATAATAAAAGCAACAATATTGAAAATATTATATAAGAACAAATGTTTGAATTAAATGAACATTCCTCCTACTATATTTACAAGTCTGGTCAAGGCTTAGGCTTAGCACTAATAGTAGTCTGAACATTAGACTTGAGATAGTACCGTTCCCTTATGTTTGCTGGTGGCGTTAGTACTCTGCTATACAAGACAAACATAAGGATAAAAAAAATAAATCCGATGTTGCTATCAGATTTCTGATATCTCGACTCTCATAATGGAGCGTTCCGTATGATCTAAATGTGGATCTGAACGCTCGCAAGTCCTAGAATATCTATCATTACAATAGATACCCAA